TGGCCAAGGCACTTACAGTAATGTTTACCGTGCTCGTGATCTTGATCAAGGAAAGATTGTAGCTTTGAAGAAGGTTAGGTTTGATAACCTGGAGCCTGAGAGTGTTCGGTTTATGGCAAGGGAAATTCAAATCCTTAGAAGACTTGATCATCATCCAAACATAATAAAGCTGGAAGGTCTAGTCACATCTAGAATGTCATGCAGTTTGTATCTTGTCTTCGAGTACATGGAACATGACCTTGCCGGGCTTGCCTCACATCCCGGTCTCAAGTTTACTGAACCTCAGGTATATTCATTAGCACTATGTTTGGTTTGTTTTTTAATTACTCCCTCTGTTCCTAAAAGAATTTCTCATTGTTTTTCCACTGAATTTAAGAAAATGTAAAACTGTATGGTGGAAGTTTATTCCTAGGAAGAGAAATAATGTGAACTACTCATTTCTTTTCTTCAACGGAATATGAACTTTTCAAGACAACCAAAAAAGAAAAAGCGTGAAATTCTTTTAGGGACAGTGGGAATATACAATTGTCTGCCTTGCATGCCTACCTGTTTTGTAGAGTCTAAAGCTTTATGCCTTCAATTGACAATTTCCAGGTGAAGTGTTACATGCAACAGCTCCTACGTGGACTCGACCATTGCCATAGTCGTGGGGTCTTGCATCGAGATATAAAAGGCTCCAACTTGTTAATCGATAACAATGGCGTATTAAAGATTGGAGACTTTGGGTTGGCAAGTTTCTATGATCCTACGGAGCAAAATCAGCCTCGGACAAGCCGTGTTGTCACCCTATGGTATAGGCCTCCCGAGCTTCTACTTGGTGGCACTTACTATGGCAGTGCAGTTGATTTATGGAGCACTGGTTGCATTCTTGCTGAACTTTATGCCGGAAAGCCTATCATGCCCGGAAGAACAGAGGTGCTGTTTTTGTTTATAGATTTTAGGCTCAAATATGCCTTATTGCCTTTCAACTCTACAATTATAGCAATTTGTTTTTGTAGAGTAGAGATCTTTTGACGCCAACACTCGGTGTCATAATATGGTACCAAGCTAATTTGGGGTTCTGCGGTTTTCCATTGAGCNCCCCCCCCCCCCCCCCGGATTATCTGTATGGTGCAGTACATTCAGTGGGAAAGGGGGTTGGTGACATGTCACAAAATATACAAAGGCAGTCTCATATGCATAGAATTTTACATTCTTTAGGGACAGTAGTCCTATTATTACATCAAAGTGTCTCACATACGGCGAATTAAGCATCCCCTATAGGGAAATAAATAGAGGAATGTGATTCAATGCTCAAAGTAGCATTGTTATATTCAGAAAGTCATAATTTTAATGCATATTATTAACGTCATGATGGATCTATTGAGTGTTAATAAGTAGAGATTTAACTTCTAGGTAGGATATGGTCTATACATATCCTCCCTAGACCCTACTTTTAGTGAAATTTTACTGGTTGTTGTTTGATGGAATTATTGAATGTTAGTTACATGTATTCTTAGGTGGAGCAATTGCATAAAATTTTCAAACTGTGTGGTTCACCTTCGGAAGAGTACTGGAGGAAAACCAGGTTGCCTCATTCTACAATTTTCAAGCCCCAACAACCTTATAGACGTGTTGTTGCGGAAACATTTAAAGATTTTCCTTCGCCGGCATTAGCACTCATTGAGACCCTACTTTCCATGGATCCTGCTAACCGTGGGTCCGCAGCTTCCGCCTTGGCGAGTGAGGTATGAAAATCCTTGCTGATAAACTCTTCCACATGCCTCTTGGGGCTATCTCAAATTGTTAAGAGTTTTAAAACATTTCTTGGGTCTACAATCATAAACTTGAGTTTTTTTGGTTGAGTTGGTTTCTTGACTTGGTACCAAAATCTTGTTGACCTATTTAGCTTCTGAATATTACATTTTTTTTGTTCGGCTTTCAGTTCTTTTCAGCAAAACCGCTTCCTTCTGATCCTTCAAGTCTGCCAAAATATCCACCATGCAAAGAATTTGATGCTAAAATGCGCGGTGAAGAAACAAGAAGGTTGTTATACGTATATACAAACAAACATATTTTTACCTTTCGAACCTCATTTTTATGGCTTGTTTGGTAATTGGTAGAATTCATTTGGCTGAAGCTGAATAAACCCCATTTATAACTGGTTGGCAAACATGGCTTATACATCTCTTTTCCTCACATAAGGATCTGATTATATTTGCATTGACACTATAATTTAGGCGAGCCGCAGCTGGAGGAAAGGTTAACAGACATGACAGTGAAAGGAGAGGTACAAGAGAATCGCGAGCGGTTCCAGCTCCCAGTGCCAATGCCGAATTAATCTCATCAATTCAGGTGATTTTTGGTTCAGAAAATGCTCAACTTTAACACCAAGGTTTGACACCACCAGAGACCCCAATAACGCACAAATAGTCATAGGCCTTCTATGAGAACAAAATTTTCAGTTCACGTTAGCCAAGCATTTTGGATAATTTTTTAATGATGCAAATGAACTTTGAAAACTCCAAAGGTAAACATTATCGTTAGATAGCATTTTCAAAAAGCTGAAGTTGTTGCCAAATAGACCCATAGTCATTGTCTTTGGGACACTAAGAGTGTCAATCTTGGTGTCTCCCGTGGTGTGAGTGTAGCATAACCATTTTGGTTATGGCTATTTTTACTCTGTCCAACTTATACTCTTTTGACCTGAGTGGTTTGTAGCACCGGCTGATGCTCCTTTAAGAGTTTAATGCTCTCTCAGTTTTGCAAATTAATGTCACTTTTACTATCACATTTTAAAATCAAACTAGTGTTTTAAATATTGTAATAAAATTTTTAAAATAGCAACACATACATACATAGATTTTGGATCAAATAAAAAGTGTGCTTCCCGTGAAGAATAAGAATTGTTCTAATGGCTAAGATGAAGCAAAGATCCTGGGAAAATGCCAAAAAAAGTGCAGTGCTGGTTTTGTAAAAATGTGGAAGTTCTTCGCCATTGCAAAAGAATGCACCAGAGTACATATATAGGGGTTTATCTAAAAAATTTCTTAAGGTGTTTATCTAAAAAAAATCATGTGTTCTTCTGGGAAAAATGCAGAAAAGACAGAGTAATCCCAATTCCAAAAGTAGAAGTGAGATGTTCAATTCTCAACAAGAAGAAGCGGCATCTGGTTTTCCCATTGACCCGCCAAGGCCATCTCAGCCCGTTGGATCGTCAAGCAACGATCCTCAAAGACAACTGCCCAGGAGAGCTGCCCATTCCGGTCCATTGGCTGACCGAACTGCCCCAAAGATATCTGCAGGAGAAGAAGACTTATCAGCACTCTCTGGTCTGGTCTCTGCAAGGAAGAACATTTTGTGCGAAAGTCGCGAAGCTCCTAATAAACTTGTTTCAAGATTTCCTGGATCTTTCAAAGACGCTTCAAATCCGACCATTAAGCCTAGCCAAATGAGTCATGGGCCTGCAAACACACATCAAAACCATGAAGGAAGTAGCAGCAACAACGGCAATGATCCTGTCATTGTAAGAAGCGTATTATCTCTCAATGTCCTTGTGCATTTTAATGATATATTATTTAAAAAAATCATGACAATAATCCCAGAATTTTGAGATTTTACACGAATAAATCAAGATTACATAATTATCACGAGTGCTCTCAGAAATTCAATATTTTTACAACAATACTCCCACATTGCATATTGATCGCAAATATACCTCGTAAATCTTGGGGGGGGGGGGGGGTAAACCAAATATTCTCTTGGAGTATTATTTTATATAAAATTGATTTTTTGGAAGTGTTGGTGATAACTATGCAATTATGGAGTATTTGTGTAAAATCTCAAATTTCCGGGAGTATTGACATGAACTTTTCTTCCTATATATTTTTCACTTATTAAGGGTCTGTTTGGAAGAGAGAAGATACCAATGAAAGAAAAGCCGGAGAATGATTTGAATGGAAATACTATTTGAAGGAAAACTAGAGATGAGCTCAAACTTAATAAAATTGTTAAAGACCATAAGTTTAAATATTACTACATGTTCCAGTGTAATTTGTTTAGGGTAAAACCAAGCATAAAAAATAAATTATATTCCCTTTACTGAGAATCTTCCGCGGTCCAAACATACTCTTACGGTCCGTTTGGAACTCGGAAAATTCTAAGGAAAGGAAACATGGAGGGAGAAACTACACGAAAAATATAAGGAATTGTTTCTTTTTTGGGGGGGTGAGATGATAGATAGGCTCAAGATCAATAGAAATGTTTTATATAGAGTTTATCAATAAAGTCATTTTATTCATTTATTTCTATTTTCCTACACACCTAGAAATATAAGCATATGTAAAACTTTTTAAAAATTAATCTTTTTATTTTTTGCATTTCTTTTGGTAAACCCAAGCATAATAAGATAAAATCCCTTGACATCTCCCCCTCTTTCCCTAGCATTTTCTGTGATCCAAACATTCCCTTGTTGATATGTAGTGGCATTTGATTAATTTTATTTTCCCAGCTGGGGTATGGATCAAAGGGGAACAAGATTCACTACTCCGGGCCAATACTCGTTCCATCTGCAAGGGTAGATCAGATACTCAAGGATCACGATCGCCATATCCAAGAAACTGCAAGAAGGGCGCGTTTGGACAAGGCAAAAGCACGAGCTGCTCAGGCTGCCGAAAGAAGTCAAAACCCAACAAGTTCGTCGGTTATTTCCGAAGGTTGTTGATTGCATTCTTGCCATGCAGGTGATTTTCTTGTTAAATGATTTCCTAAATTTTAAAAAAAACAAAAAAATAAAAAAAAAATAAAGTAGGAAAGAAGATGTCATTTTAGTGATAGAGCTCATTAGGAAAGCTGTGATCTTTCTCCCATGTTAGCTTCAATGCTTTGCAATGGTTATTTATTACTAGTGTGTGTATGTGTGTGTGTGTGTTGGCCATATTTTTAGATGATGTTGCTGCCTTGCTGGCTTTTCAACCCCCCCCCCCTATTTCCTTTCAAGACTAGTGAACACTGAATAGTGCAGAGGTCAAAAGTAAAAGCCTTTTTTGGCATGTAGAGAAAAAAAAGACATTAAAACACAGTACACGGCTCGGACAAGCTGCCCATTTGGCATGGACCATGCTACGGGCATCCCATTTCTCACCCGACCTTCTCACAGACATCTACATACACCCGAAGGTTGGGATGAAAGGTAAGATGAGAGGTGTAGTGACTTTAGCACCAGCTTTGACACCAGATATGACAACCGTCTATGAACTTTGTGTGTTCACGGACACTTATATCCTACCTTACATATTTACAGACTACTGTCATTTGTGGTATTGAAGTTGATGTTATTCTAGCATGGCCCTTTTTCTTCGGGCATTAGGTTTTGGACCATTCGAGCCCACGTAAAAGGTTGTTTCTTGGCTGAATTGGTTGAGTAATGGATTTTTTGAACTCTAGAATAACGAAAATGCAAGTGTATCCCATGTTTGACATCATCTTCTCACAGACATTCGACACTTCTGTGTCTATAAATGTTTGTGAGAAAAATGGTGTCAAAATTGGTGACAACCTTGGGGTTACTCTTAGGATAACTCATACTACATACCTTTTCCGAGATTCTTCTTTTCGTGGGATTTGATTAGGTTGTTGGGAAAGAATGAATGTAAGGTGTATAGATTCATCAAACAAGTAAAAAAAAAGTAACTTTTGTATGTTTTTACACTATGCTACAAAAAAATTTATTCTTTTTCCCACATCCAAAATCCTTTGGATGTAGTCACAAAAAAAAAATCTTTCTAATTACACTGCTGGTTCCCAAACTTTGTCAACAATATCAATCTAGTCACAAGACGGCGCAGCCTCTCGGCCCCGGGCCCCGGTGCAAGTTTCGTGGGGTCCCCGACCTTGGAACACGGAGGGTCCCCAGCACACCACCCCCCGGGGGTGTAGCTCCCGTTTCCCCTCCCGAGCAACACCCGGTCGATCTTGTCCAAGAGCGGGTCGTCCCGCTTGAACTTGCGCGCGAACGCGGCCCCACTCGCGATCATGTTCTTTGTGTCGTTCATGTTGAGCGTCCGGGGATGTTGCCTCGGGGGGTTGTCCCATGAAATAAAGTGCATGTCGTGGTTGACCGCGGTCGGCACGAACTGCGGCGCGTTGCAGATGACGGTCTGGAAGTAGCCCTCCGGCGAGGAGACGAAGTTGGTGTAGTACATGAGTAGTGTTCTTGGGAGGTTCTCCCACCCCCAGATGCAGTACTCCACAAACGCCCGCGATTGGACCATCCACGCCGAACCTGGTCTTGGGTTAAAGAAAGAATGATGGGTTATTAAGGTTTTGTGTTTGTTGAACTAGTTAATCGATTGGACGAGTAGGAACTGACCAGTAAAGAGTCTAAAGGATGTTGGCAAGCCTCTGTTTGGTTGGACCCAAAGTAAGTCAGATTTGGTGTTCTTGTACAGCCCTGGATCTATCATCAATGGTGTTCCCCTTCCAACCCTGTAACACATTCAAATGGAGTAAAACCAAATATTACTTAGCATTTGGCCAAAAAAAGAAAAAAGAAATTCACAATGTCATGTTTGGGTTATGTACAGATACACATAACATACGCTTTCCATCCTAGCTGACTTGTATGCTCTATGAAGTTGTACTCTCTTTTTACACCAGAAAACACATCTAGCAAATCTGCAAATAAAAAAAAACATAAATCTTAGTAAATTTTTGTTGCACGCCAATACTCCGAGAAATCATTGAAGTATTGGCACGAACGGAAAAGAGAATTAGGGGGTAATATTGTAAAATCGGCCAAGTCAGGGAGTAACAGTGTGAATTTTTCCTAATAATAAAGACTTTCAAAAGGGGAATTAATTAAGCAAGTAATTAAGGACTAACCATCTTGAGTGACAAGGGGATAATCAGAAGCACTGAGATTGATAAACCAGTCCCAATCCTTAAACCTCTTGAGAAGAACAGCACTTGCATGGAGGGTATTACTGACCATAGTTGGTCCTCTGTAAGTGACCATATTAGCCTTGGTTATCATATGGACATTTTTGACCTCCAAGAAGATGGGCTCCTTCTCCACCCTGTGTGCAAGCTCCAGCCTCTCCTCCACAGATGCCTCCAGGTCCAGATGGACAATATAGTAATTTCTCGGGTGGTACAGTGCATGCAACACCCTCCACAGCTTCTCCAAGTCCCCCTTGGACGCCGATATCAGGTACGCAAAACGTGGCAATGCTGGTGGCGCTGGCGGCGGCGGGGATTGGTGTTCGTTGGTGGTGTTGGTTTCTGCGGTGGAGACGCGGGAGGGGAAAATGGAGAAGATGGAGGAGGAGGGGGTTTTGGGGTCAGAGGAAACCATCGCGAGGAGGAGGACGAAGCAGAGGACGGAGGCGATGGCGAGAGGAAACACCCATTTCTTCTCCACATTCAGAGACCCCATTGGATCAGGAAGCTTTATTATCATTTTCTGTGTTTTTATTATATTTTTCTCTGTTTTTGTTGCTGCAAAAGAGAAGAAGAAAATATGAGTTTTTAGTGTTTTGATTGTTAACATATATAGGTGGGGGGTTCTTTTTGACTTCACCCGACAGCAGTTCAATTGAGGCACTTACGGTTCCTGCTCCCTGGCTTTACCGTAACCCCCCCCCCCACCCAACTCGGACCGTCCCTAACGAGTCATTGCATTTTCGTTAATTGTACTCTCTAAATTTTGTTGATTTTGGGGTCAAATATGAAGAAGGAGGGTATCCTACAAAAAGGTATTAGGTCCTACAATATTAGGGCATATGTTTTGAGATTTTTGTGCCTTATAAGCATCATTTTCAAAACAAATGGATGTAGGGAGTGTCTGGGTCGTTTGTTCAAGAGCATAAAACGCTATTTCCGGACGTTAAAGTAAAAGTAAATTGACAAAAATGGGTTCTCTTGGTAAGTTAAATTGACTTAAATGCTTGAAATTGCGGAACTTGCTCATGCGTTGAATCTTTTTTTTTTCATCCTTTTTTTTTCAAAAGTTAATTTTGAAAATAGATTAAAAAGTGACACTTTATAAAACAAAAAATTATTTTCGGGACGATCTAAACAAAGAAAATAAGAATTTTATTTGGGACAGAAGCGGTTTCAATCAGCGGAATCAACTAAAAACAAGGTATTACACACTCCTTCCGTCCCAACTTAAATCACATATTTCGGTTTACGATGTTTGAATGAAGTTATTTTCAATACATTTTATTTGAGAATTGAGGCAGAATTAAAGAACAGAACTTATATATTACTGATAAAAAACAACATCAAAAACTCTTGAAAATAAGAGGTAGCATGACTATATTATTTTATCAAATAAATAACAGAAATAGGAAAAGAAAATGAATGAAGTTTGACCTTGTGAATAGTAAACAGATAATTTAATTTGTAAATATTAAACAAACAACTTAATTTGTGAATAGTAAACAAACAACTTAATATGTTAGTGTGGCGCAATTTCATTGATAGTTGCACCCAATGTCATAAAATGATACTTCGTGTTGAATTTAACAGAGTACTGTAATTTCTCGATGTCATACTACGAAATTGAAAATCAATGTGATTTGAACCGTGGTGGAATTATTGTTCAATTTTTTAAATTAAAAATAAAATGGGTGAAGTAAAATATGGTCATGTAACGGACATTTGACTCTTCGAACATTTATTATGTGCAAATAATAGGGAGTAGTAAACAAGTAGCCAGGGAAAAGTAGTTATGCTCCAACTTGTCGGTTTGGTTTTATTACCTCTCTTTCAAAATAAATGCGGGACGGTTCCCATGTATTGTCCGTCAATGTCATGGGATGACCTGAGGTTGCTTTGGTATCTCGTTCGTAAAATTGAGAGTTCCTACCCCTAACTCCGACCCCAACACACCTCCTCCCACCCCCTTCAATTGACCCCACAAATTAATTTTGATTTTGGAGTAAATGAGACACACTTTAGTGTACGAGGATGAATTGAATATAAAATCGGTATACAAATAATAAATAAATCAACATATTTAACACTGTATCGAAAATTCTATAAAATAAGAAGTAATAATGCTATATTATCTTATCAAGCATATAGTAAAAACAACGGTGAAAATCAAACGTGAACATCCAAATTCGACGTTTCGCCAGAGCGAAACAAAACATCAAATTCAGAAGGAGGAAGAGGCCGGAGAAGTGGCTATAATACCTAAGGGGCAGGGAGAGATTGGGAGTTAAGGGATAGAAACCATTTTACAATGCAACGAATATTGAAATTAATATTATCATTATTCAAGTATTGAAATGAACAATAAAAAATGGACAGAAAATTACCAGAGAATGGCGAGATGAAGAAAGAACAAGGCTGCAATCACATAACACACAAACACAATGTAGGCAATAACAATGTCTCTCTTTGTGGTGGATATGATAGCCCCATTACATTAAATAACATCTTCTTCTTCTTCTTCTTCTTCTTCTTCTTCTTCTTCTTGGATAAACTCCTGTGTTTTTTCTTTATCTTATGTTTGGTTTTGGGATTATTATATATGTGTTCTTCTTCTTCTGCTTCTTAGTATTATGTTTTGTTGTTTCATGGGAAATTGGAAACACACAAACATGAAGAAGAGAGAGAGAAAGAAAAACAGAGAAAGAAGAAGAGATGGAGAAAGGGAGAATTAAGTCCAGTGTTTTCTGCCCCAACCAAATGCCAATTATTATGCTTGGCTCTACACTTGTCTTCTATTCCCTACTATTATTAATGCTTTGTTTCTACCTATATTATTTCTTTTCCTCTTTATTTAGTACTCCGTCTAAATATTCTAAATAAGGAGTATTTCATTCCCCTGACTTGCACGGAAATTAAGAGAAATTAAAAAATGTAAAGACTCTCCATGTGTTGCCTTTGATGTGATAGAATAAAGTGAATAGTGTAGATACAAAATGGAAGAAAGACCAAAGTAGGATTAAAACATTGAAAATATACCAAAATAAGACTTCCATGTTTTTATTTCCGAAATACGACTTAAAATGTATTTACATTACCAAACATGGTCATGTACATCACCAAAAAGTATAGTATTGTGCACATGTACAGTGCCACAATACAACCACATTACCACAGTGTGAAGTCCTATTTTGGAATGAAAAATATAAAAGTCTTATTTTGGTACTTTTCTCTATGTTTTAGTTCTATTTAAGGTGATTTCTAATAAAAATTTGGGATATAATGGCACATTCATTAAAAGGTTTTTTCCAAAATAGGAAACGAGAAAAAAATTAGATATCTCAAAAAAAAGTGAGAAAAAAATTAATAGACGGGACGGAACATTTTATATTCAACCGTTTTCTCAAATGCACAAAAGGACATGGTCATCCCGAATTCCGAAGATTCTTTTTTTATTTTATTTACAATTATTGTCTTTTTCTTAATCCCCCCTCTACATTCATGATGCACCTACACTAAAAATGGTGTGTTCGTAATTTAAAAAAAATTAGGTGAATTATCCAATGGCTGATGATGAAATGTGAACCTAAAATTACAGTGAAACATGCTAAAAAGGGAATAAGTAAAAACTTAGGTATCAAAACTGCATCAAAACACAAGTTTTTCCTTCATTAGCGTCTTTTACCCTAAAAACTACTCCCTATTTAAAAATTATTTTGGTACCATTGACTTTATTAGAACATAATGGCCCTATTTGGGAAGAACATTTTCGATTAACATTAATGATTTTGATAAAATTTTAATGGTGTAGTTTAATTCTAAAAACGCTAACGCTAAAGGCTACCGTCGGATAACCTTTTCAACATGCTAACGCTAATATCCAACGCTGATGCCAAACATGACCGATAAAGGAGTAATACTTAGTTGATTATAGTTTATGTACAAGAAAGAAAAATAATAACCGACACAGGTTTTTCTGCGAGAAAATTGATTTTTTTTAGACAATCCAAATAGAAAAAGAAATAAGAGTATTGGTAAAACTTAAAGAGGGGTAGAAACGGAGAGCACCTGAGTAGCGCGCGAGATAATTAGGACTTGATCAAGAAACTAAGTGTTTCAAGGCAACTTATGTGGAGATCAATAGTAACAAGATTCCTACTCAAACTCGTAATTAAACAGCCTAATTAAGTACAAATCCTAGGTAATCTAGGTTACTTTTTTTTAATTCGACATAGAACAAGTTCTTGTTGATCCCTTCTGGATAAAACTAAATTAAGGTACTTCCTTTGTCCGACAAAAATTTATCCGTCTCTTTAAATTTTTCTCATTTATATTAAAAAATGACTTTTATCCCTTTTAATTTTTAACCTACCTATCACGTTACACTTTTTCACTACTAATCTATCCATCATATCTACTTTTACCTATCATATTCAAGGGCAATACCAAAATACACTCCTCTTAAATGCCTTCAAAATCAAAACAAGAAATGTTTGGTAGGTTGGAGGGGTATAAGTTTGGGAGATAGTTGTTGGATACAATAATAAATTGGCACAAATAAATTGATTTATAAATAACAAATAATGATGAATTATACTCCTTACAAGTGACATTCTATACACCAACCTCGATGTATAAAAATAATAAAATGGCATATACAATAAATATAGCAATGGGTAATGAAATGTGCAATAAATATGAATAGCATATCATAACACTAGAGTACTTATATAGCACCACTATTTTTACTTTTTACTACCAAATAAAAATGCGGGATTTAGTCACGGATTTTTACCGCGGATTGTTGTTACTCCTCTCACAAATTCTCTATTCATCACATTTTCAAGTGGAGTATACTTTCAAAATGATGGCTAACCAAGTTAAAAAAAAAAATATCACCATATCATGTCCACCAATGGCAATGAAATCACCAAAATAATCACAATTCACAAGACAGATATCTCATAAACCCGAAAAGAAAATGTCAGAAAATGCTGAAGTCATCCCATCTCTGACCCCACCTTTCACCCCGACCTCACAGACATCCATAACATTGATCAGTAACAAATCTCAGTAACAAATGTTTGTGAATGTCTATGAGAAAAAAAAATGGGATGAGAGTTGAGTTACTCTTCGCATTGTCTAAAACATGTTTTCTATATATATGGTGTGTATAAGGTTAGGTATAACTTCTTGGTGTGCGCATGTCGCATCAAACCCCGGTTAAGAATACAGAGTTAAGAGTAATTCAAAGTTCACTACAAGAGGGGAAACAATAATTCCATTTATTTATATTGTGATGAAGATCAGCTCCAAACCTGGTAGCATGTACGCTCTCCATCTTAGATTTCTGCAAAGGTTTTCACTGTCCTGAATTCATTGTTTTCTGGTAGAGGCCAGTTTCCAGGGCGAACCGAGATGATCACCTCCAAACCTAAGAAGATAAAAGTGATGTTTAAGATATACACAATCTTAATCTTAAGTAACTACTCCCTCCGTTAACTAAAGCCATTCCTACTTTGACTATAGGCCAAAAGAAGAAGTGTATATTTGTAGTTGACTTTCCAATTTTGCCCTTGATGTGATGGGTTAAAGTAGTTTTTTTAATAGAAAGTAGAAGCGTTTTGGTGAAAGAGTAAAAAAGAAAAGAGGAGTGATTTTTTTTATCCCTACTTACCGGCAGATTTGGCAGCTGTTGCTTCTTGATAAACATCGGTAACAAAAAGGATCTCTGATGGGTTATCAACTCCCAATGACTCTTTGATTTCAATGTAACTTTTTCTTTCTTTCTTGTTCCTGAAGGAAAAAAAAACTCGCAGATTGGTAAAAGAACAGTCCTAGCCCCAAGGTACAAGATGATGAGTTGAAATGATATGATTGCAAAAAAGTGTAAATTTACCCCACTGTTGTATCGAAAAATCCAGAAAGGAAATTTCTCAGGTCCCCGTGATTTGTGTTACCAAACAAGAGCCTCTGTGCCAATCTGCTACCGCTCGAATATATGTATACCTGTGAATTAACACGAATAAATTAAGCAAAAAAAACAAATTTGTGCACCACCCACACACAAGACAAGTGTTTTGTTCTTACAAACATTAGATGTGAATCATCATATAGATATAAACAAAGACGAGGAGAACCTTGAACCCCAAATCATTCCATTTTTCTAGAGCTTTGGGCACGTCATTATAAACAATTCCCAGCAGTTCATTATTCTGAAACCCAGTCCGCCAAACATGGCCCTGAATGATAAATAAAGAGAATGTAGAGGCTATCACAAAATAGTAGAGTTCTACCTCGAGTTTAAAATTATTGAGGACGTGAGTTTTTTTAATACACCTTTTACAAAAAATAATGTCCCACCTCCACTTAGGGCTTACCTGTAATTGCTTTAAGGAAGTAATCTTGCGGTCAGATTTAATCATTGCCTCCACATTGGCAACAAGAGCTGCAATTACCTCTGCTTTCCCTGCATCATCTGTAGGGACTGGCACTGCACCAGCAATCCCTTTTTCTAGATCTTCTTCTACCTGATGCAATGAATAATGATGGACTTAATATTTATTAAGATACTCCGTAATGAAAAACAAGACCACTAAACTGATTTTGATCAGAGCCGGTTTAAACATTGTGAATGGTGGTTGAACCAGTTCACACTGTTCAAAAATCCAAAAAATGTGATATTGTTGGTTTTTGCTTTCCTGCTACCAAGTCAATATCTGAAGTTTTTAACTCAAATAAATGTTGTGATGAATATTTGAATGATGTTGATTGTTAGTAAAACCACAGTCCACGGAAACTGACCCACTAAAATCCCATGCNGGGCTTGCCCTTACCTCCAGATGAATGTTAGCTGCTAGTAGATTATGAAAATTTGACAATTTTCTCTTTCACAATATGTAGCCAATAAAAGTTGGACAATATTTCAAAATTTGATTTTGAATTACGCAAATGTAGTTATTTCTTGTGTGCGTGACTCTGTTTAACTCGAATGTCATACATACGTATTATTCAATTTTTAAATAACTATCCATGTTGATTGTTTGAGGAAATGGGGCCTTGGTGCACTGGTTGAGGTGTTGTCGAGTGACCTTTAGGGCATGGTTTGAATCGCAAAAGAAACATCTTCCACAAATGCAAGGTAAGGTCGGTCCACATCACACCCTTATGGTGGGACCCTTCCCAGACCCTATCTCAATGGGTATACTGTGTGCACCGGGTTTCCCTATTTACTGATTGTTTAAAAAAAGATTTGTATGGGTGGTTATACGGAAAAAATCTCAAACTTACTTGAAGTCTCAGTAATTTGATGTCATCCTGAGTTTCTGCAGAGTCGTATGTGATGTCCAAATGTCTCCCCACATTATCCCGGGCATATGGGAAGAGAACATCCGACACAAATGATATTGGAGTAGTGGTTCCTTCAATATCCAGAAGGATGCATCGCTACAAAAAAAATAAATAAAAATAATCAAATAAAAGAACCTCCACAAGCTTCTTTTGGAAGGTCCAGGGAGTATGTATTTCCAACTTACTCTTGCTCCCCTGCCAGTGTGTAGACTGCCTAAAGCACCAATAGATTTGCGAATGGGGCCATGAGACGGCGTTGACCAATCAACTCCTAACTGGTGGAGTTTAATTGCAGCATCAAACAGGTAGTGATAGCATTCAGCCTGGAAGGTAAATGTGTTGGAATAAAAGTTACTGTGGAAAAAAAGAATTTAAACCCAAAGCCAATGAAAACCATGTATCATAAAACATTTATCTAAATGCTAGCCAAAGAGAAAAACAGCACTTTGATAGTTACGACACAGTTATGATATTCATGATTAGCCTTTTCGATATTTAAAATATTAAATCCCCATGCAGCATGTTGCCAAATCAAAAGAGGGTAGGACCCCAGAAGGAGTTGCGGGGCCGTCCACTAGGGATATTACTTCAACAACTATATGTCTAGAACCAAATCCAACAATATTGGGGCACAAATTTAAAGGACATGCTGTTAATGACAAAAGGTCTAGAACACTATATCATTTAAATTTTTCCACTTTAGGTCAAAACTCACAAGTCTGTTAGGTCATTCCCACTTTCCAATCTCACATCTATGAGGTTATTCTAACTTTTGGCCCTTGACTTCTTTTTATTCAATTTTTGGTGCACAACTTTGAATGTATAGTAACTTCCCCACATGTTACCCGACCACTTATTTGACCAGTTTCATACTCATATCATTTTTCATTATATTTGAAAGTGGCATGAAATGACCAAAAGTGGCAAAAAATCCATAGTCATGCATTAAACTGGAAAAATGAGGTTGATAACCAGAAATGGAATGACCATATAGTCATGAAACCAAAATTGGATAATTTTCTAATATCAAATTCACTTAATCACCACTTCACCAATGTATATATGGACAAAATTGTAACACTACCTATTTGCCAGTAAGCAAATGCTAACCAAACTGAAGAACATGGAGTATTTCCTTCTATGCACCAACCTGTGTCTTGGCACTAATCCAAGAATCTCCCCATATGTATATTCCATGATTTCGAACCAATACAGCTGTTGTTTTGGGGTAGGCTTTTATCTGTTTTGCATGGAACACAAAAAGATGGTTGAAGTGAATGTAAGGTGCAACTAAAGTTACTACTTAACATGTACTCCCTCCGTCCCATAAAGATAGGGACGGTTTGACTAAAGTGATAAAATAAGGAGGGATAATTTTGTGTTGACTTTCCAAAAATACCCTTGATGTGATGGGTAAAAGTAGGATGTGATGTGTAGATTATTAGGAAAAAGGTATGATGTGATAGGTAGGGTTTGAAAAAGTAAAGGGTAAAAGAGGTTTTTAATAGAAATGGGAATGACTTTAAGAGACGCAATTTTTTTGAAACGGGAATGACTTTATGGGACGGAGAGAGTACATCATATCATCTCTCTCTCTCTTCATTTTTAATGCCTTTATGCAAAAAAAACTCAAAAGGTCTCACTCTCAGTTCAACTCTGACACGTTTGAGGTGAAAATACAGTGGGACCATAAAAATCACACAGTTGATTACCTGTTGGGCACTTCGACTTCTAAACTGTTTGCCCTTTTAGGCTTTTGTGGTTAGAGGACTTTTGAAAGAAATGAGATGAAAGTGGAGGATTGTGTGTTTGGTTGCGGTGGTTTGGACTTTGGAGGAAATGAAACAGGAGTGGAGGAGCTATAGACTTCTCTAAACTCATTATATCTCACTCCCCCTAATTCAGGGTATTTCAGGAGTTCTATTTTTTCTTGCTTTTTCACATTTTTATCAAATTGTATGCTCTGTGCATTGTTACTGGTTTAATCCCAATAAAAAGGAAGGAGTTAAAATATTCTGGAACCTACAGCTTCAGCAAGAGAGTCAGTGAGTTCCCTTTCATGGGCAGTGTTTTCTATGATTGGGACTACAAGCTCATCATAGTAACCATGCCCTTGAATTCCCTTAATCATTTCCATATGAGTAATCTGCATATTTTCAAATAGCACAATCTATAAGAACCACAAAGGGATATCTGCAGTCCATCAAAATGTAAAAAGTGCATTTAAAAAAAGAAAGAGAAAGAAATAATTCATTTTTTAAGATTTTAGAAGCTAGAATTAATGTTGTTGAGAGTTGAGACTCCACATCTCTCTATCTTGTAAACATCTGAAACCATCAAATTTCAAAATATTCCTACTATTGGGTCATTATCAAACAACAAATAGTTAATTAAAATGTGTGTGTTTGTCTGGGCACGTGCAAGTCTAAATCCTCACTCGAAATTCTTTGGCAGATGGATTCATCATAGTAACAAGGCAAGATTCCATTCCATGACTGTGGATAACAGCACCTGCATTGCGCATCTCATATGCCTGCACAATCGAAACCATGATGGCATGTGAGACTAGGGCATAAATGACTCTGTCCAGAAGTTCCAAACAAACTTTAGATCCACATAAATTCATCATTAAACAGCCGAGTTATGCTGCGGAAAAAAAATATGAAAGTGTAGAGATGGGTGCCATGTAAAATGACAATGAGTCTATTCTTTTCAACTTAATTTACCCCTAGTAGAAAGTAGAGAGGCTGTTTTCACTTAGCAAATAAGACTAAACCATTCAACTTTGAGTTTGGTACTTTCAATTTAAGCTCACTTCAATAAGTTGCAGTCTAAACGAACAAACCCGTAGTATCTAGGCAAAAAACACACAAATTGCACGCTATACTCGAACACCAAGCAGTTCTGCACCACTTCAATTAAAATAAGGAATCAAACTTAGTCGTTTTTGAGTAAACAAACAAGCCCAAAAATTGGAATCACAACAGTTATGTGTTGTTGTACCTTCAAGAACAGAGGGCCACAATCAGAACACTTGGGAGGCTTATGTGGGTAGGGTTTAGCGGAAGGCTCGGATAGAATTGTCCCATTTGGAGATAGCACATACATATCCTCTTCAACCATTCTTTCCTTCTGCACTCCTGATCATCAACAGAAACTATGAACTAAGTTTAACATAAGAACAGAGAAATGATCTCAAAATCAAACAAATGTCCGTTGAAAATTGGGGAAAAGGGTTAAGAGGACCTGATGGGGACATGACAATGAGCTGTTGGTGTCTCGGAATGGAGTCTTCGTGAACTTTGACGGTGATGCTCCCGCCGGTGCCGGAGACCCAACCCTGATTGTAGAAGTGGCGGCATAGGTCGGCGATCAAAACCTTCGTCTCTTTCACCTTGCCGCTTTCGAGATATGCTTGAGAGGTAGTGGCCATTTTCACGGCACCGTTCACCGCCGGTGGCGCGGCCGTAGCCATCCGCAGTGGGTATATATAGGGAGAGAAGATGTGCTCGTGCCTGATAGAATTAGATGCTTTCTTTTTTGAAAAAAAAAAAGTGGAACTCAAAGCAACAATTCAATTTGGTCCAAAAGTCAAAACTTCAAAATAAAACAATTTCACCTATTCTTGGTTGAAAAAAAAAAAATATTTTGATCTTCTGTCATCTTAGTATTAATTTAAAGGCTAAATATATAATTTAACACCAATTTTATGTTCAATAACGTATTTTAATATTGATTAGCAAATAACACAAAAATAATGATTATGATTGTGGATTAAGATTCTGAATAAAGAGCACAGCTGTAGACTATAGTTATAGTCGAATGGGAAAGTCTCAATGAGTCCATTTTTATCGATTACCTTGAAAAAAGAACGGCTAACTCCTCTAGTCTTAACAAATCCCCATCATCATCTACTACAAAACACCTATCAGGTGACACACAACTTAATTATGCATCCAAACTAAGCTTATTAAAGATTTTGGATAATCTAGGAACAATTAAAGTGATGCCATACGACAATGACTTATCAAGGATTAAAAAAAAGTTTGAACATTTTCTAGACATATCTAAATGCCAATTGGATTAGTCTAATGATGTTGTTTAGCATAGTTATCTCTTAGTATAATTTCCAGGAATCAAATTTGAGTCTTCTCATTTGACTTTAGAAAGAGTAGAGGTTTACACATTATATAGGGAGTGTATTTCTTTGACAAAAAAGATTAAACTAGGAATAAATTATAGAAAATATACTAAAATAGAAATTTTATTTTTCTATTACGAAAATAGAAGTTACAATGCAAATACAATATCAATCATGTTAATATATAATACTAAAATATATTTTTAAATGTCCATATACAATGTCACCAGCCACATTATCGCAATGGAGACTCTTGTTTTAGCGATAAAACAAGAATATCTTATTTTGGTGCTTTTCACTATATTCTTGTATTTAAGGTGATTTCTTTATGTTATTTAGTTTTTTATTATAAAAAAAAGTGTAAATTCCTAAAGGAATTAACCTAGGCGTACATCAATATGGAGTACCCCATTTGTACACCAAGCTAACACCGACACACATACACACATAATGTCTGTGCCGCATGGACATTATGTGTCTGTGTTAGCTTGGGGTACAAATGATATTCAATAACTAGGTTTTTTTCCAAATTAGTTATCAGAACTAACTAATTCTTGAGATGATACTCGTTAATTGAGAATAATGCTCAGTTCAATTTCCTGGACTAATGGTCGTTAAAACGATATTAAAATGATATCAAACCTTATACTTCCAAAATTGTACCTTTTAACTTAGCGTTTTTTTCTTTAATTGGTCAATTTTTGAAAAAAAAAACATTAATAATGAAAAAATATTTTAAATTTTATATGATAACAATATAATACTAAAAACTATAAATATAAGTTTATATCTCGTATATTTGAAAGTAAACCTTTTATATTACTCCATCCGTCCCAAATTATTTGCAACGTTTACTTTTTCAGCAGTCGCGGGAACTTTTGTTTATTTCTACGTTTTCATTGGTTATTTGATAAAATAAAATATTCTTGATACCTTTTATTTTGAAGAACTTTTCATGTAGTTTTTTTATATGAAAATTTTATTTTTTATTTCTATACTAATATGTAAATAAAATGAATTGAAAAAACTTAATATTTTAACTCGGGAATACAAGTGTGACAAATATTTATTTAGAAAAATATCATATAAATAAAATATTGAAAAATCTGATGGAGGGAGTAAAATCAGTAAATAGGAATTAGAAAAGTAATCCTATTCAGATTTCAGAGGGAAATATATAGAGGCATAGCCGCATAGGTTTCTGTCGCATCCGAATTGTTTTTGCAGACATCGGAATATCGGAAAAACAGGAATTCCGTTCTGATCCGGATTCACAAGGCAGTCTTGACAAGCAGAAGAAGAAGAGAATGAAGTTATCATCATCGGAATCAAACGGCAGTCTTGACGAGAAGAAGAAGAAGAAGAGATCGGAGTTATCATCATCGGAATCAAAAGGCAGTCTTGATGACAAGAAGAAGAAGAAGAGATTGAAGTTATCATCATCATCATCATCATCAGATTCTTCCCATCATCATCATCATCATCATCAGCTGTTCTTCGATGGGCTGAGCGAAGGGCTGTTGATTGAAATCCTGATTAGGGTTCCGAGCAGCAGGGAAGCAAATCAGCTGAAATTGGTGTGCAGGCGTTGGAATTCCCTCATCTCCTCCCCTTATTTCATCACTTTCTTCAATCACCACCGCCACGACCCATGCCTCCGCCCCTCTCCTCCCGACGATTCGTCGCATAGCGTTGTGTGCCGACTAGGTCAGGAAACATGGCTGGTCCGCTATCGACACCCCGACCGCAACAAGGTCGAATTCGATGCCAGCCACGTCCTTGACTTCAGTTTTCTCCCCATCCCTCAAACCAAAGACATCACAGTGCACTGTTCGTGTGCCGACTTGATCTTGTGCTCTTATAAGAGTGGTAACATGACCAGATCATGTTTCTATGTTTGTAATCCCCTGACCAAGCAGTGGGCTGCTCTCCCCGATACATATGTGGATGTGTACCCCTTCGCCCGAGGGGAAACCGTTGGGCTCCTCTGCGTTCCTTCACCCTGTTCCCTTTGCCTCCACCCTTGCCCTGCTGCTGTTGACAATTCTCGCTATAAATTTACGGTTGTGCGAATTCTTAAATGCAATCCTCTACTTGAGCCCTGGAAGGAAGGTTCGCTTGAGCCTGTTTCCGAGTTCAACTTTGAGCTCTATTCGTCCGAGGACGGCCAATGGAGAAGTTGCGTGGTCACAACCCCACGGGCACTACCTCGTCAAGTCGGTGCCTTTTCGTCTCTCGTGGCATACAGAGGGAAGCTGCATTGGCTCGTCGATGGTCACGTTCTGGTTTACGACCCGTATAATTCTCCTACAAGGTTTTCCCGTGTCATTGATATCCCTCCACCACACTCATATCCTGACACCTTCAGTAGCATTGGCGTGCGCCGGGATCGTCTTCATGTAACGACCGTGTCCCGTGACTTTAGTACCGTGAGCGCGCGCTTGGCTGATTGCAATGACCATTATGTGTGGGAACTCGAGGACTACGACACGGGGAGGTGGAGTTTGGCTCACAAGTTTCGCGCTACAAGTCTGTTTCCTTGTGTACCCGAAGAATTGGTTTATCTGAGAGGCCATACGAATCCACGACGACCACAGGGCAGTGAAACATGGTTTTCCGAAATGATAATCCAAGCACATACCTACTACTCATCGTTCCAGCTTCACACTAAGATTGTTAACCAGTGGTGGCCAACGCCAGTACTACCGCTGCCGAGGGGAACCGGCATTGCACAACTAAGAGTATGTTATTGCTTTTTGTTCTTGATTGTTATTTGATTGGTCATGATGATCTAAATTAAATAAGTTCTAATCTAGTTTGATCTAATCTGATTCCAATAAGCTAAGAATAGGTAATAAATATTGCTCCGTAAGAACAAGTTGAAGAAAACACATCTAAATGCTTGTGATGTTTGCAGATGATAGAAGCACTCTTGAGAATCTCGAAAAAGATGAGGAAGGAAGAAAGAAGAAGATAGTGCATCGTTATGTTCCCAATGATCATATTTTATGGCCATCATAGAATCTTTCTTTGTATTTATTCATATGATATTTCTTCTGTCCCTAGCTAAAAGATTGACATCGTTTGACTTTTTTGGTCAAACTGTGGTACCATTTGACAACGAATTAAATATTGTTTAAAATAATTAAATATTATAAAAATTTGATATTTTAAAACTATATTTTAAAATAAATCTAATTTTACTAAATTTACATTATAACTAAATACGGAGTGTATTTTTTTCTATAATTTGTAGTCAAAGGTGCCATAATTTGAAAAAAAAAGTCAAATTGCGGCCATCTTTTAGGGACGGAGGGAGTATTACCAACAGTCACAGGAACTTTGGTTTGATTGTGCGTTTTCATTGATTATTTGATCAAATAAAACATTCTTGACACTTCTTATTTCGAAGAATTTTTCATGTACTTTTCAAATATGTAAATTTTATTTCTTATTTCTATACCAATATTTAAATAAAATGAATTGAAAAAATTTAATATTTTGCATTGTTCTTTGAAATGTAATAAACATTTAGAATTAAGTTGTTATAGACTTATAGATTTATTCCCCTCAGTAGTTAAATTATACTCCTTCCGTCCCTAAATATATCTCACATTTCTATTACCGAGGTAAAATATCAAATTTTTTCAATTCATTGTATTTACATATTGGTATATAAAAAAGAATATTTTATTTTATCAAATAACTAATGAAAACGTAGAAATAAACAAAAGTTCTCGCGACTACTGAAAAAGCAAATGTGAGATATATTTAGGAACGGAGGGAGTACAATTATTTTGTGCTATTATTATTATTATAAAATATAGGGAGAATATACCAAAGTGAAATTTGCACTAAATAGGACTAAAACATAATGACTTTCCTAATCTAGGACTTAAACTTTTTTATTCCCTAAATAGGACTTAATAATGACCTAGTGGAAAAAATAATGTCCTGTAATCATGAACATTTAGTTGAATAATGACTACTTGATAATGACCAAATGTCCTAGATTAGGAAATAAAAACATATGGTCTTATATTGAAAAAGTCATTATGTTTTAGTCATATTTAGATAAATTTCTCTATACCAAATTGAAATGTAGGGAGGAAGGATTATATAAGGAATGGACTCCTAATGTGAAGGAAGTATCTTCGGAGTATATAAGGAATTCCAATCTCTTCATTTCAATCGAATCATGGCCTAGGTTTAATTAAGGTTTCTGTTGCCTCATCAAAAAGAAATTTAAGATTATGGCCGGGTTCAGATTCAGACCGCCAGTGGGGTTATCACCGACTCATCGTCGTCATCATCAGATTCCTTGCACCACCACCATCGCCGTCATAAATTTCTTCCATGGCCTGCCCGAAAGCTTGTTGATTGAAATCTTGATTAGGGTTCCGAGCAGCAGGGAAGCAAATCGGCTGAAACTGGTGTGCCGGCGCTGGAACTCCCTCATCTCCTCCCCTTGTTTCATCACTTTCTTCAATCACCGCCGCCACCGCGACTCGTCTTCTTCTCCCTCGTCGTCGTCGTATAGCCTCGTGTACCGACTGCGGAACGAAACCAGGCTGTTCCGGTATCGGTACACGGGGCGCGGTACGGCCCGGTTTGACGCCACCCGAGTCCTGGACTTGCTTTCTCCCTGTATCCCTGAGCAAAAGAATCCTGGTGCGTTGCTCTTGCGCCGATCTGATCCTGTGCTCCAACAAGAACAAGAAGAAGACCAGGGTGTATTTCTACGTCTGCAATCCCCTAACCAGGCAATGGGCCGCCCTCCCCCCGGCGGAACCCTCCCCCGCAGGGGAAGCCGTTGGCCTCCTCTCCGTTCCTCCGCCGTGCTCCCTCTGCGCCTCCCAAGACCACCACCACCGCCGCCGCGGCGGTGCTGCCAATTCCCGCCATAAATTCGCGGTGGTTCGGATTCCGAAATGCAGTCCCGGAAACCCGGTTTCCGAGCTCGACGTGAAGCTCTATTCGTCCGAGGAGGGTCGGTGGAGAAGTTGCGCGGTTTCAACCCCGCGGGCCCTACCTTGCCGCGGCGGCGATGGTTTGACGGGTCTTGTGGCATACAGAGGGATGCTGCATTGGCTGGTTGGCGGTCACATTTTGGTATACGACCCGTACAATTCTCCCACAAGATTTTCCCGTGTCATCGATAGCCCCCCACCCCACTCGAGCAGGTACACCTTCAATAGCATCGGAGTACGACAGGATCGTCTTCACGTAACGACAGTGTGGCGTCGCGACCATTACATATGGGAACTCGAGGACTACGACGCGGGGAAGTGGAGTTTGGCCCACAATATCCACGCCCGGAACCGGTACTCGTGCGTGCCCGAGGATTTGGTTTACGTGACGGGCAGCACGAACAATCGACAATCATCACGAGAGGAGGATACGTGGTTTTCCAAATTCCGAGCCGAATCGCTTTGCCACTACACGTCGTTCGGCGGGGACGACGACGATATTCACCCTAAGATTGCAAGCCAGTGGTGGCCAACACCCATATCACCGCCGCCGGTGAAAGGGCGGCGGCGTGGCACTCAGACGACGACTAAGAGTAAGCTTGATACAGACTTGGACTTGCCCATGCTCACCTCTCGTAGAAAAAAGAGGACACCGCGTTGGATGGCCGGCTACGTGTTCACTTGACCACATCGTTTTTTTTTAGTATTACTACTCCATTAGTATTGCTATATACTCTCAGACTATTTGTCCACTTTTATTTTTACACACCATGCAAAACACTTTTTTAATCCATTTTATCTTGTAATTTGTATATTAAAAAATTATAGAAATTATATATTAATAATTAATATGTTAAGACAAATCGAATAAGATCACACATGACTATATTTAGGCGTACACATTGAGAGAATTTGATGAGTCAAAGTGCTTAGATGAACAGTTCCAAAAGTCAAAACCGAACGAATATTCCGGGACGGAGAGAGTATCATTCATTAGCACTAATATTAGTATTAGTATCATCATCCTATTCTTAAAAGAAATGGAAAAATTATCCATTAAGGGGCTATTTGTTTCAGCCTCTTAATGGTTCAGATGTCTGAATGGTTCAGCACTTAATGGTTCAGACTGTTTGTTTCAGCCTCTTAATGGTTCAGATGTCTGAATGGTTAAGAGATTTGCCTCTGAATGGTTAAGTATTATACATAGTCTGAATGGTTAAGACTTCTTATCTGAATTGATCAGACATTTGCCTCTGAATAGTTAAGCAATATAATAGCTCTTAATGGTTCAGACCTCTTACTGGTTCAGCACTTAATGGTTCAGACCTCTTACTGGTTCAGCACTTACACATTCAGAAGTTGCCAAACAGCCCCTAACTTTCCCGTTCAATTGCCCATGATTCTGAGCTGTCAGTTATTTCATTAATCTAGACCCAAGGAGGAATAAAATTAAAAAAAATGGTAAGATTTGAAAAAGAAATATTACAAGAAACCCGTGCAATTTGTTTATTTATTTATTCCTTTCCATATTTGACAAGTTTGGTTTAATGAAGGGAGGAAATCAACAAAAAATGGTAAGAATAAAAAAAGTTAAAACAAAAGCCATCTGTTACCTTTATTTTTTTGGTTTTTTTTCTTTCCATGTTTGTGAATATAAGTAATTTTTGTTTTTTTTTCTTTCTATATTTGTGAACAAAAGTAGTAAAGTAATAAAAGTAGGAAATAAAAAATAGTAACAATTTTAAAAGGAAATCAGTAGCAAACTCTAACCTCTATTGTTTTGTTTTTTTATTTCCATTTTTGTGAATAAAAGTAATAAATTAATGAAATGATGAAATAAAAAAAAGGTAAGAATTATAAAAAGAAATCAGAAGCAATCCGTGCCTTTAAAATTTAAAAAATGCGTTTAATCAACAAAAATGCTATGAATAAAAAAATTAAAACAAAATTTATCCGTTCGTTCTATTTTTTGTTTTTTCTTTCCATATTTGTGAATAAAAGTAATAAAGTAATAAATTTAGCAAATATTTTTTTTTCATATTTGTGAAGAATATTTTATTTGATCAAATAATCAATGAAAATGCACAAATTAACCAAAGTTCTTGTGACTGTTGGTAATACTCCCTCTGTTGTCCCTAAAAAATTGCCACAGTTTGATTTTTTTAATTTGGTCAAACTATGACACCTATAACTATGAATTATAGATAAAAAATATATTTAGTTATAATGTAAATTTAATAAAATTAAGTTTACTTTAAAATATAGTTTAAAAATATCAAATTTTTATAATATATTTAATTATTTTAATTATATTTAATTCGTTATCAAATTGTACCACAGTTTGACAAAAAAAAATCAAACGATATAAATCTTGTGAATAAATACGAATGAATAAATACAAAGACACATTCTATGATGGCCATGCAATATGATCATCGGGAATATAATGCACTATCCTTCTTCTTCTTGCTCTTCTTCCTCGTCTCTTTATGGAGTCTCAAGAGTGCTCCTATCATCTGCCAACATCACAAACATTTAGAGCGTGTATTCTTCAACTTGTTCTTACGGAGTAATATTTATTACCTATTCTATTGGAATCAAACTAGATTAGAACTAATTTCAATTTAGAGCGTCACCAATCAAATAACAATCAAGAACAAATTAATAAACAGGAATAACATACTCTTAGTTGTGCAACGCCGGTTCCCCCCGGCAGGGATAGTATTGGCGTTGGCCACCACTGGTTAACAATCTTAGTGTGAAGCTGGAACGATGAGTAGTAGGCATGTGCTCACGTTTTCATTTTGGAAAACCATGTTTCACTACCCTGTGGTCGTCGTGGATTTGTATGGGCTCTCACATAAACCAACTCTTCGGGTACGCAAGGAAACGGACTTGTAGCGCGAAACTTGTGAGCCAAGCTCCACCTCCCCGCGCCGTAGTCCTCAAGTTCCCATATATAATGGTCATTGCAATCATCCAAGCGCGCGCTCGCGGTACTAAAGTCACGGGACACGTACGGTGGTTACGTGAAGACGATCCTGGCGCACGCCAATGCTACATACTGAAGGTTTCAAGATAGGAGTGTGGTGGAGGGATGTCAATGACACGGGAAAACCTTGTAGGAGAATTGTATGGATCGTACACTAGAATGAGACCATCAACTAGCCAATGCAGTTTCCCTTTATACGCCACAAGAGACGAAAAGGCACTGACTTGAATAGGTAGTGCCTGTGGGGTTTTGACCATGCAACTTCTCCATTGACCGTCCTCGGACGAATAGAGCTCAAAGTTGAACTCTGAAACAGGCAAACCTTCCTTCCAGGTAGGGGTGTTCATCTATAGGTCTGGACCGGAAAAACCGACCGAACCGGACCGATCGGTTCAGACCGAACCCGGACCGAAAGGATATCGGGTCGGTCTTCGGTCCGAAGTATTTCTAATTTCGTGTTTCGGTCCGGTCCTGTCATTACCCTATTTCCAATCGGTCCAGACCTACTTCTTTTCTAATTTTTATGTTCCGTTCAAAAAAAGAGACTACTCCCCAACCTTATCCGTAAAGACCTTTAATCGTATCCATATGCTTTCTGTCTTCTTCGACAGCCGGAAACTTTGCCGATTCACCTTCCTCTGTGTCGCCATCGACGAGAGCCGTCTCGCATAGTCGCACTCTGGAGCCTGAGTAGCCGTTTCGCACACGCTCCTACGCTGTCTCGCACAGTCGCCATCGCCGAGCGCCTGAGTAGCCGACTCCCTCAATCGAAATTGAATCAGGTATGGCCGTATGGGTACTCAGCGCGTCTCCCTCGTCTCCTTCTATCTAATCCCTAGTCTCCTTCTCTATTAGGTTTCTTCTTGTTAAATTATTCCCATTATATTTGTAGGGTTTAGCCAAATTGTATTATTCTTAGACTTTATTTCCGAATAACATTTGTCAATTGTTAAATAAAAAAAGCTGCAATGTCAATTGTTAATTGTTTGTCTATTGATTGTCAATTGTTTAAAAAAAGCTGCAATCTCAATTGTTAAATAAAAACTTGAGAGTAATCTGATTTTTAAGCTGCAATGTCAAATGTTAAAAAAACTTGAGAGTTCTTTGATTTTTAAGCTGATTTTTAGGTCCAATCGGTCTATTCCGGTTCGGTCCAACAGATTTCAGTCCGGACCGGTACAAGACCTGTAAATAGGTCCGGTCTTTGTTCCTATATTTTTTTAATTTCTGTCTTCGGTCTGGTCCGGTTCGGTCCGGTTCGGTCCGGTCCTGGACCGATGAACACCCCTACTTCCAGGGCTCATGCAGAGGATTGCATTTGAGAATCTGCACAAACGTAAATTTATAGCGAGAATTGTCAGCAGCAGGGCAAGGATGGTGGCAAAGGGAACAGGGCGAAGGAACGCAGAGGAGCCCAACGGTTTCCCCAAGGGCGACGGGGTACACGTCCACGTACGTAGCGGGGAGAGCAGCCCATTGCTTGGTCAGGGGATTACAAACATAGAAATTTGATCTGGTCATGCTACCATTCTTGTAAGAGCACAAAACCAAGTCGGCACACGAACAATGCACTGTGATCTTTTTGGGTTGAGGAATGGGGAGAAAACTGAAGTCAAGGACGTGGCTGGCATCAAATTTGATCGTGTTGGGGTCGGGGTGTCTATAGCGGACCAGCCATGTTTCCTGACCTAGTCGGCACACAATGCTAGAGGGCGACGAATCGTCGGGAGGAGAGGGGCGAAGGCATGGGTCGTGGCGGTGGTGATTGAAGAAAGTGATGAAATAAGGGGAGGAGATGAGGGAATTCCAACGCTTGCATACCAATTTCAGCTTATTTGCTTCCCTGCTGCTCGGAACCCTAATCAGGATTTCAATCAACAGCCCTTTGCTCAGCCCGTCAAAGAACATCTGATGATGAAGATGATGATGGGGAGAATCTGATGATGATGATAACTTCAATCTCTTCTTCTTCTTCTTGTCATCAAGACTGCCTTTTGATTCTGATGATGATAACTTCGATCTCTTCTTCTTCTTCTTCTCGTCAAGACTGCCGTTTGATTCTGATGATGATAACTTCATTCTCTTCTTGTACTGGTTTTGATTTTGGTTTTAGGTTTAAAGCTTTTAAACTGAGTGACCGGTTTGGAAAAGTATTGCGAGATGGAGAAAACTTAATTGAGGAGAGAGAAAAGTGTGAATTTACAATTTTATCTTCGTTTCTAACGAAAATGTTTACAAAGGAGCATTCGTGGAAAGTAATATAATAATTGAGGACTAAATTATTGATATTTGATATGTATGGATTAAATGAGTAAAACGAACCATAACTGGGGACCTTTTATGGAATTTACTCAAATTTTATTTTGAAAACGAATTGATTTGGGAAAGCACTTATTTAGAAAAAAACCATTTTGAAAAACCATTACTTGGTGCTTTATCTGTGTTATTTTATAATTTTTATCATATTTTTATGCAGTTAGAGTCAAGGGTCTCTTGGAAACAGCCTTCTCACTTCCGAGTAGGGGCAAAGTCTACGTCCACACACACTCTCCAAAATTTATTGTAGTGGGATTCAACTGTGTTGTTGTTGTTGTTTCATGGTTATTCGTCAAGATGGTTAAATTCAATGTTATTTTCAATTACTAAGTACCATTTCAATAATTAGTTTATTTTGCGAAGTATTTTGAGAAAAACATACGGGTAATAGTTAAGGAGTACTCCGTATTATATTGAGTGCCATTTTGGGATTTTGTGCAGCTTCAAATCTCGTCAAATCAGGTCCAAACGCTCGGGTAATAGACTAACGGCGATTTTATTTCAGGCTTTCACCGCTTCAGCGCTGCACCCAATCAGGCAATCGCCGTCGTCCCTCATCCTGACGACGACCAGTGGCAGCGAGCACGGAACATCCTTCGCCTTTTCGTTCCAATTTTCCTGTGGTTGTTCAGGTCTGTATCTTACTATCTTCGATCGATTAACCCGATTTTTAATTTAATTGGAGAAGTTATTGGATTACTGAATGATGTGAATTCGGTTGTTATGTTGTTCGTTGAAGCTTGAATTCACAGGTTATGTTTCCAATTCTAACTTGCTACTTGTGTGATATAGAAGAAGCTGGGTTCAGATTTGATTAATTGATTTCTTGTTCAGCTTTAGAGCTGGGAGCGTAGATAATTTTTTCTTTTTTGTTAATTTGAGTCATTGATTTTTTTAATCTGCGCTGCTAGTTAAGGATCTCTAGTTTGTGTTTTGAGCTGTTTCTTTCATCTGGGTTAAGCTTAGATAAATTTTGTGTTTCTAAATTTTTTAGTTTAATTTGAGTTAAAGGTTTTGTTTTCCTACCTCATTTCAATTATTTCTAGTGATTGAATGATGCTTTTTTGATTCTTTTTGAAATGAAAGTCATGAGACAAGATTAGTTTGTACTCAATTAACTCAAAATGTACTCAAAGTTTAATCATTGTGGTTAAGGTCTTAAGGACTTTTTTTCATCATGTCCCGGGCCCTTGAATCCTCAGGACCGGCCTTGGATGACGGAAGTGTCGTTGGGGACGAAGGAAGATGAAGTCACAGAGTCGAGAAGAAGGCCAGATCGAGAGATAAGGTGTGTAATTGTGTTATTGATTTCTATCTCTGCAGCCTAGGGTTTAGTTGTAAAGCATTTCTTTTAACGCCTAATCAAATTAGGCATCACCTTATCGCCGCCACATGGTGAGTCGTCTGTCCCCTTGGCGACGCTGTAACAAGTATGCCTACAACTTCTTCACTTCACTCTTCTCAAATATATGAACTGACACATTTTTGTACCTTTTTACTTTACCTTTATTTTCTTGGTAAATTGGTTTGATGCTGTATTGTTGGTAAGTTTCTTGCTCGAAGAATGTTCTTCTTTTTAAAAAATCAAATAAGAGGAACCACATATTGAAATCTGGTGACTTAGAAACAAGTTACCCAATTGTGGTATTGTTTTAGTAGTTGGTTACTATCTTTGAATTTGCTTTATTTGCTCGATTATTTGCTTCTTTGGGTGGATTTTAACTGCAAAGGGGTTGACCCATTATGAAGTAGAAGTGATTGGCTAAATGGTTTTAAATTTGTGTGTTACAAGATTTAGGAGGTACTTTGTTCAAATACATAATCAGGAGGTCGGGATATGGATGGCTATGCAGTTGTGTCTACATTCTATATTTATTGGGAATTTGAGAAGTATAATAATAATAATTTTAATTTAAAACTTCATGTTTTTCTTTTGAAGTCAAATCAAAACTTTATTTTGGGACAGATATTGTACAAAAAACTGATTGATATGGAGTATGCCAATGTTGGGCAGTTTATTGTTTTTATTAAAGCAAATGAGAGCCCAAATAGCATTCTACTTTATGACATAAAACCTTTCAACAATGAATATACCCTAGAGAATATAAGCTTCCCTTTGGCTGCGCGTGCCGTGTGGGTTCCTTTTATCTGACCATGCTCTTCTTCCAAATCCAATTTTAGGTAATTTTCATTTTTCCAAGCTTCATCATCACCCCTTGCTGCTTAAACTTCCAACCTTGTTTTGAATTTCAAACAATAGCTATTTTTTTCTCAGCTTCTACTGATATGAAGAACAATCCTTAGGTTATTTTTATAAATCATTAACAAAATTTAGATCTATGGTCAAAGTTTCCATATCTAAAATGCCATTTTCGAATATGGTTACTCTACAGATTTTATATCCACGTTTCGGATGAATATTTGATTTGTTTTATTATCATCACTGTGCTTTTTTATATTCTTATGGCTATGTGCTTTTAATGTTTCAAAGTGTAAAAGGGAAGGAGATTACTACAATACCAAGATTAAATCATATACAATTTGAAAGATTTTGTAGGTTCATTGCTCAAGGTTGAGGTAGGAACTTTATCAGTTTAAAAATATAGAAGATAGAAATCAAGAAATTGAATATCCAATTATTTTCTGAAACATATAAACTGGTAGAACCTTTGATAAACGAAAGAGATGCTTGTAATCCTTGTATAACTCACATATTCTTTTGAATTGTATGTATTTGTTTGTGCTCTTATTTGATGCTCTGTACGATTTATGTGTTACTGTGTTTTAGCCGGTTTTTGTGTTTGAGCCTGTGGTCTATTGGAAAAATGTTTGCGTAAACACACCCTCCAAGATAATATTACTATTAGGTCTACTACTTGATTACTTATTAAGTTTTCCCATTCATTTTTCATGTCATAAAGTGACAACTTTTGTGTTTTTATTATGCAGTTTGAAGGGCTAAAGCTTTGATTTATGATGACGACACAGAATGTACCCCACCAAATACTGCAATCTCCGGCTAGGCTCGGCCTCCCAACTGCAAACTCACCTTCTATTCAAAACCCTGCCTCTCCCAATCCATCCTCCGCCCAAGCCTCTCAATCTCGCCCTCGCCAACACCCAAACCACACCTCGACCGCACTCATTTCCCTCCTTCCCCCTCTCCCCAGAGCCCAGTCTCTCCTCACCCAAATGGCCTCCCTTGCTTCCAGACTCTTTGAAGTCTCTCCCAATCGCTCCCAATGGGTTAGTTCCTTCCGCGGCTCTCTCCCTTCCTTCTTACCTTCTCAAACCCCACTGCTCGAGCCCTCCCCTTCTACCACCAAAGAAACCCTCTCCCTCTTCACTTCCCTTCAGTCGCAACTGTTTGAAGCCGTTGCAGAGCTTCAAGAAATTCTTGACCTTCAAGATGCAAAGCAGAGGATCTCACAGGATATCCAGTCTAAAGATTCTTCAGTTCTTGCTTTTGCCCGCAAGCTTCAAGAAGCGGTCCGTGTCCTTGACATGCTAGTGGATGACTACTCCGATTATCGCCGCCCGAAACGGGCAAAATTGTCCGATGATGAGGACTCTTCGTTGACAACCGTGAACACCCAGATCAAACTGTCGGATATATTGTCGTATGCTCATAGGATCAGCTACACTACGTTTGCTCCACCCGAGTTTGGCGCCGGACCAGGCCCACTCCGTGGAGCCCTCCCGCCGGCCCCACAGGAGGAGCACATGCGTGCTTCTCAGTTGTATAACTTTGCTGATCACGACGTTGGTTTGCCCAAAACGGACGAGGTTAAGGAGAAGATTGTCGACCCGCTCATTGACCCAGCAATGGAACTACCCGACCTCACAAATATTGTGGTGCCCGTTGGGTGGCAACCCGGAATGCCCGTGGAACTGCCCATCGATATACCCCTCCCTCCACCCGGGTGGAAACAAGGAGATCCAGTCCCCCTGCCTCCACTATCTGTCACTCAGAAGGTGGAGCAGCTGCTGGTGCCGCCCCCGCCGCCAGTTGTGCCTCTGCAAGGGCCGCCCAAGATGCCGGAGGTCATACAAGTGCGGCATGTGCAGCTTGATCTTGACGATGACAGTAGTGACTACAGCAGTGATGATGAAGCCAGCTCTGATAGCGAAGATTGATTTTTTTTAAAAAAAAAATTGTAGAAGAAAAACGAAGCATATCTATCTGCCTCCTCCCCTGCACCATGGCTGTGGCGGCGGTGGCGGCGGTGGTGGTGAAGGGACAAAGATGAGTTAAATTGCCGATTATGCCCCTACGGGTGCGAGGGAATTCGTCGTCTTAGAGGTTTTATTCAAAATGTAGTGAAGTGTTATTCATGTGTTGTGCCAAAGTCGAATCTATCAATGCAGTAATATTATACAGCAGTAACACAAGCCTCGGTCTCTTTATTTTGTGGACTTTTTTTTGGGTGAAACGTTAGAAACTTTGATCTAATTTTACTACTGGTAATAAATTACCATTAATTGTAATGCTAATTTAATAGCATTAGATTCCCATAAGTGTTAAACTTCATTCACTTACTTTCACTTTTTTCGGTAGTAATTTGATAAAATAAAACAATATTTTCACCATTAGTTTTATATGTCTTTTGATGTACTACTTCCGTCCTGCTGTATTTGTCCATTTTTGATTTTTGAAAGTGTTCATCTAAGCATTTTGACTCATCAAATTCTTTCAATGTGTAAGCCTAAATATAGTCATGTGTGATCTTATTTGATTTGTCTCAACATATAGATTATTAATATATAATTTCTATAATTTTTTAATATACAAACTACAAGATAAAATGGATTAAAGAAGTATATTGGATGATGTGTAAAATGAAAGTGGACAAATACTCTGGGACGGAGGGAGTAGTATTTTAACATGTAATTTTTATTTTTTTTAATTTTACACAATTTTTCATATAAAATAATTTTATTCAAATATCGTGAATCGAAACATGCAATATTAACTAAGACGGAGGGAGAAATTTTTAATAGTTGCTCTTTTCGTTTCCGTTTACATTGTTTGTTATGATATTTACAATCAAATTTTGTTCTTTTTTTGTTTGTTATTATTACTCATTTGATAAAATAAACCTTTACAAATATATCCATTTAATATGACCTATTTTGGTTTATGATGTTGATGGAAACCGCTTTTCCGGGGCATCGACCCGACGAACTCAGTATCGAGTCGGCACCGCACCAAATAGCGAAATTTGAAAAATAAATGAATAAATAAAGTGGAGAGAAAATATTTATACGTGGAAACCCAAACCGGGAGAAAACCATGGGCCTTTTTAGGCGGTGCAATGCCAAGGAGAGGAACTTTTATTAATCTCAGAGGAATTTACATATATATCATTGTAGGAGTTTGGAGCCATTAATGGAGCTTCAAGCTTAAAGAAGAAGGAAGAATAGTAATAGGAGCTTGTATGACTTGGTCTTCTTTTCTCCTTTCCGTAGCTTCACATTTAAAGGGGGAAAGAGAGTGATTGATGAAAACAAGAGAGGACCTCCTCTATATGAAGCCCAATGTGGTTTCTATGTGATAATGTTTCGTGAGTCCCGCTGAATATCTTTACATCACTTCAAATATATTCTTCTATCCAAATAGAAGAATATATTTAGATATCTTCATGATATTTATGTGTGTTCAAATATACCCCTTCCTCCAACTATTTGTTTCTCATTTTTTCATTCATTAAAAATTTAAACAATATTTTTGCTATGAACATTCATTCTTGCTTAGTTTTTTTCCCCACTTTTTAACATTGGTATCAATCACAAATTCACTAATGCAGGATTTTATCAATTTTTGGCTTCACCGTCGTCCGGATTTAGGCCTCTATTCCTAAGCATAAGTTTATACTTTGGCTTATTTGTAGGAACAAACTTCAAACTAAATATGGACCAAATCCCGAATTTGCACTTACCTCATTGTTGGGAATAAACGCATGCGGAAACAACACACAATCGCGAATCAACCGCAGAAAAATAAACGATACAAGATTTAACGTGGTTTGGTTGCCAACTGCAACAGTGCAACCTACGTCCACACAGGGCAAATAGGAGGATTTTATTTCATTTGTTGCACACCAGTTTCAAGTACAATGATCTCTTAAATAGAGATTAATTAGGGAGATACAAATAATACAATGATTAAGCCCTAAGCTTCTAGGTAGTTTCCTCCCAATTTCCTGTTAGCTTCCACCTAGCTTCCTGGCTTCACACTCAACACTTATCAATTCAAAAGGTTTTGGCCTAGAGTCTTTGGGTTCTGTAAATGTTGTTTGATGGACATTTGCTTGGGGTGTGATGATAAATCTTTGCCTTCGGTTCAAAAAATAATTGTTATGCAATCCATATAGGATCTCCATTCCAAAATTTTGCAGAAGAGTTGTGAATATTTTTTTATTATTTGTTTTTACATCTAAGAAGATGATAGGTTATATAGATCAGAGAGGTTTTTACCCAATTGTCTCAAACCAAGGGACAAAAGAAGAAGAAGAAAGAGTTGATAACAATCATTTTTTGGATGCATGGAAATGAAACAAACCAAATCAAGCCAAAATCTTGCAAAAAAAGAGTTATTATGAGCTCTCTGTACAGAAAAGTCTCCAAAAGGACTGAATATTTTTCATTTGTTTTTACATCTAAGAAGAAGAAAGAGATTATTGGGGTTTGAGAGAATTGGGTAAAGATCAATAAATACTCTTAATAACATGGATGGAGCATTATGAGTCTTTCTTTGGGGGGGGGGGGGGGAATGTCAATTTTAACCTCAATGATGACAAGTTCAGATCATGGACACAATCACTTACAGACAATATATATCATTTATTGATAATAGATAGAAACCAGAGATAGGAAAAGATTAAAGATCTATCACAGTCTTCTTCTTCTTCTTCTTCAATTCATCTATATATATATATATATATATATATATATATATATATATATATATATATATATATCATTCCTTTTTATTACCGGCGGCGGCGTCTTCTTTGTCAGGCTTAGTAGCTGCTGCTGCTTTTGGCTTCTTATTCACACGAGGCTTCAGGAAGCAGAAACAAGAGCAACACGGACACTGGAACAAGAACTTCATTCTTCTTCTTCTTCTTCTTCTTCTTCTCTCTCTCTCTCTCTGTGTGTGTTATATGCCCATCCAGTCTCTATCTCCTTTTTATCTTACTTTTCATTCACATGCTGTCTAACTTTGCACTCTGAAAAATTAGAAAAATTTATAGGACAAAAGCACAAGTCATTTTTCAATGTAAGACTTAAACTTTTTTATTTCTTAAATAAGATTTAATAATGTCTAGTGCGAGGAATAATGTCCAGTGATGGTGGACATTTACTTGAATAATGACTAATAAATAATGACCAATGTTTCTATATTGAGAAATAAAAACATATAATCCTATATTGAAAAAGTCATTATGTTTTAGTCATAATTAGGCAAATTCCCCAAAAAGTTACTCTGTCTCATAATTATCTTCCAATTTTCCTATTTTGATTGTCCCAAAATTCTTTTCATATTTTTTTAAGAAAATAATTATGTGATCCATATCGTTTCTCTTTTCTTTACACAAATCACAATAGCACACATTCCATTTTATTAAAACTCATGCAAATCAAACTAGGAAGAAAATTATGGAATGGAAGGAGTATTATATTAACTTTAGAGATTAGTTTTTATTAAATTCATGAACATGAATTTTATTTATTTATTAAAATTTTATTTGTTTATAAGTTTTCATTAATAATTTGATAAAATAAAATAATCTCGTTACATCTTGTTTTGTAAAAATTTTTAATGTATTTTTAAAAAATACAAGTTTTATTTTTTATACAAATCTTTAAATAAAATAATTTGAAAAAAACTTGAGATTTAATTTTATTTTAAAGGAGAAAGAGACATGTTTGGAAGATGTGACAAACGGGCATAGTTCAGTCAATAGGTGCATTCCATTTCTTCTTCCCAATTATTGTCTTCATGCTCATGGTGTCGGCATTGTACGGTTGGTTATAATTGGAACAATGCTTTTTTACTCTTTTTTCAACAACAAAAAATGAAATATTTTCAATTCAATTTTTATAGAGTTTAAAAAGTGTAAAAAAATAAAATAGATACAATTATAGTTTTTTTTAATGAGAAAAAATGGTATGAACTACATAAACAAAACAAGTGTAAAGACATTTATGGAACGTAATAAAAAGTACTCTGTAATAAAAATGATTTCCTTCATCTACGGAAAATTTTATATTTTTGTTTTATAAATTCCCCAGAAGTGTGATTTCAAACCTCTTTCAGAATAGGAGCTTTAGCGTCGGTCAGTCGGTCGGTGTCGTTTAAAATGACTAGTGTGCCTACCGCCTATACCGACTAGTGTGCAACCCCATATACACTCACATTTCCCTTATCCTCAACATGTTCACCGAACTTGGACCAGCGTATCCCTACGCAATACGCGTACCCAAACTTTCATCGCAAATTATGCAAGATTTTCAGGTCCGATCCGATCCATTTTCCCGGATGCAAACTCAATAATGAAGGGTGTTTCAATAATGGATTTATTTCTTATACTTTCCTCTGTGTTGTTGAATTTTCTTAAAATTCATACACAAGAGAAATGTACTCCGTATAAAGCTAAACATGTGAATGCTCTCTCAGACTAAAAGTATAGGGATACATGGCACAAATTATATAATGAAATGCTCTTCAAGAGTACAAAAACAGATTGAAATCCCCATAGTGTGCATTGTTCAAATGGAAATGAGAGAGTTGGGCATGGAAGGAAGAGTTTCATTTATGTAGAGCATTAACATACCGCGAGTTTTTTCCCCGAACATAAGAGGTTTTTACACAGCAGTCTTCCTGGTTTTCCGGCCACTGAAATGATCGGACTCGTACAGCATGTGATTTATGAGGCCTCTTGCCGCGCTGCAACACCACAGCAATGGAGCCAAATTAGTACTCCCCCCAAACATTCAGAAATGGTTCATATTTTAAGAAGGTTACGGATTTTCAAACTTTGAGTGTATTTTTATTAACATTATAAAACATGAAAACCGGCGTGTCTTCATCAAGGGTCCATTTGGGAAGAGAGCAAATGACTTGCATTTTCCGGTGTTTGGCTGTTCCGGAAAATACTACGTAGGAGGCAACAAAAAATGAGCCTTTTCTGGATGCCATTTTTCATTTTTTCCAAAATGCACCTTGATAGAACGCCTTTGGGACAGAGCATGTTAGGAAACTGGACTCTTTTCACGAGATCAAATACCAAAATAAACAGTTCTTGCCACCTTACTAATCAAGTTTCTAGTCATGTCGAACATGATCATTTCTACTCTTCTTTTTTTACCGGCTAAGATGAAAGGAAAAGACAAATCTAGATACTGTTTTCTTTAATGTATTTGAGAAATATTGGTGTCAATGGATCTTTTATATAATTCTGCAAATTCAGAAACTTACCACTTTCCGAACAAATTAAGACCTACCAAACAGGCTATATATTCTTCACATCAAAAAGCAGAGCTTTTATCACATGGAAAAAATCAAGCTTAAAACAAACAGGTCCAGTCCAATCTTTGTTTCAATTATCCTTCAGTGTATCATACAGAACAAGTGCACTTGTTGTAGATGTTAGGAAATTAATGAAGCACACAAAGTTGTATCAAACTATCAATTAGGCTCCATTTGACATTAACTTAATAGTTTACACTGTGTTTGGTTCAAAGGAATTTGAAAGAGAACAAAAGAAAATGATATGGGAACAATGTTTTGTGTTTCGTTAAAGAGGAAAAGGGGAAGGAAAAGAAAATGAGAAGAAAAACACAGTAATAGGATGGAAAGCACTTTCCTTCTATCTTGGTGAGGAAAAGGAGTGAAACCTTTCTCTTTTCTTTTCCTTCCTGATTCCTTGAACCAAGCATAGCATTAGCGTTTAGATTTAGCGTTTTGAAAATGTTATCCAACGGGAGCGTTTAGTGTTAGTTTGCACCCTTGAAAAATTATCTAAAACGCTAACACTAATCAGAAATGCTGTAAGTGAACAAAGCCTCATTGCATCTACCAATATTTAAAGAAAAAAAGAATTACAGAGTAAAATACGAGAACTTACTCATCCTTGAACTTTTGAATTTTATCAGGATCTGTCTCATGCATATTCTTCTTGAACTGCTGCCTTACCATATTGACAATCAGCTCGGTGTTAAATTGCTGCATAATAAAGCAATAAGATTTAACCACTAAAACTACAAGTTCTTTCAAATAATACTCCGTACATTACAAAGCTAAGATACTCATATCCACAGACTGAACACTTGATGACTCACTCTCGGCAAAGCTATGAACTTTATTGAGATAATTATGAGTAGAAATAAATCAGGTCACTACAAAAAGCAGCATTTTGAATTTGATTTTTGACAATACCATCTGAAACACAATGATCATGACAAAAAATGATCCTCAGCTATGTTGTGTGCCAGACTCCATGAAACATTGCTTCATGATATACAGAGTAATAGGTATTTGCTCCAAATTAAAAGAACAATATGACTAAACTTACATCGGAACATTTAAGTAATGAACAATACAAGAAAGAATGGGTTGTTCAATAAAGTGAAAAGCATTGTTAGGTCAGGGTGAAAATAGCAAAATAATGCAACACCACCTAGAAGAATTCCACAAATGGACGGATAATAATAATAATACGGAGTAATAATAATAATGATGATGATGATGATGATGATGATGATAACAACAACAATAGTAATAGTAATAGTAATAACAATAATTTAGCATACCTTACTACCGATATACTTAGCCCGGCGAAGACATTCACGATAGAGCTACAAACACGTGAAATTATACATTAGACTAAAAAATACGGAGTAAAAAATAGAGGTTATAATACATAAAAAGTAATGAAAAAGAAACAAACTCGAATGGTGTTATTGGCAAGTTCAGGAGGCAACGCAGTTTGAAGAGACGGCATACTGGTGATTCTTTATTCTTTCTTTGACTGGAAATGACAAAATCAAAATAGCCTTGAGATGATAAGCAAATCAAAAGGACCACTGCACATTAAATTCATTAGTTTCAGAACAAGATTTGATGGGTAACAACAAATAAAGAGAGATAGGTAACGGAAATAATTAAATTGATATGAAGTGATTGAGATAATAACAATATAATTAGAAGCATTGAGCGGCAATGCAAAAAATACATACATCAAACAGTAGGTTAGTGTCTTAAAGTGCAACTCAAGCAAAACCCCTAACTTTAGAACATAAAAAGTGGTGGTATCCGAGGCAGGTTGTTGAAAAAACCACTCACTCCTATCTAATGCCTTATGAACCAGCCCTGCCCTAATCAACCTGTGTTTAATACATTGCCTGTTCAAGGGTCATATCACTCATCTATGTCGTATTGCTATTGAAAGACCTATGAATTGTGACCTAAAAATTCCAGACAACATGGAGGAGGAAATTCCTATTATCTATATGGTTAAGATACCAAACAAACGACACTCTTGATTGACAAAGAATGCAAAACGGTGTCCTTTAACTACAAAAGAGTTAATGTCATCATGAGTGGTTTGTTATAACATCATCACTAATGGTTTAAAAAATATCGCTCACAATCTATGTATAACCACAGGCCGCAAATTTTGTTTCATACCTCAGGCAATCTTTTTTTAGATAACTACGACCATTACGTGACTAACTATAATTCTCTTTCTTAACTCCGGACCATCATCAAAGGATTCAAAATCAATATTCTCTTTGGCTCTTTGCAACATTTGTTATTCAATAGGGTTTCAGATTCACCAACGTTTTGCTCTAACAACTGATTTGAAGGCGAAGAAGCATTCAAGTTAGAAGAATCCTCACTTCATTCAACCACTTTAAATCTTAGCTTCTTTGAAATAAAATAAAAAAAATTGCATCCTAAATTTAATTTATAATTTGAAAAATTAACAATTTGCATTTAATTGATGATCTAATATTTAAATCAGTAAAAACACGAGTACCTAAACTGCTGTAATGAAAACTAACCTAAGTATAAATTCGTAGTTCACAAATCACAAATTCACATATCACAGATCATAGTTTACAACTGTCTAAAACAATTAAACATATATACTGAGTGTTTACCGATCGCGGCCGGAAAGGAAGAGATATCGCGGCTGAGGAACACGCGCGAATCGCGGCAGGCCTTAGACAGTGCCGGAGATGGGCGTCTTGTTCGAATTCCAGGATTTCCAGGCCACGGGACTTGGGGAGAGTTTTCCAAGAGGAAGGAGACGGAAAATGATAATGAGATATGTTATCAAAACGTCACCGTTTAAAAATTTAAAAAGAAGGGTGTTTTCGGAAAACATTAGTTCGAGGCGACGCGTATTTTGTTGTACTCCGTAATACGGAGTACTTCGTATTTCGCATGGCTCTCCGTTTTGAAAAGGACATTAAGGACTTTTACATTTTGTTGTAGACTGGGAGGGGACAAAACCATTTTGTCCCCTATTTTGTAAATAATCATTAAAAATGTATTTTTTATTTTATTTTTACTGTAGTCATCTTAATTGTATTTATTTTTTTATATCTGACAAAAAAAAATTGAATTTTCAAAAAATTGTGGAATAAGAAATTGAAAAAACTTTATGAAAAAAGGAAACATAGTGAAGAAAAAAAAGAAAACAACAAAGAAGAAAAAAAACTAAAAAGTGAAAGCCATGCATGAAATTATTACAGTACATATTAACATAAACCATTAAGGAGAAAATGACAAAAAAAAAAAAATACCCTGTTTAGTTTTTAATAGTCATTAACGAATTAATAAACGAAATGTAAATTTTACTAAATAGTATTAAAACATGTATTATTTTCCAATGTACTACTAAATTTTTTTTATTCCCTAAATAATATTCCCTTCATCGAGATTAATAAACAAAATGTCTCCACTTAGTTTGTACAACAAAATGAAAAGTCCGCTAATATTATTTTTATAATAAAGAGACATGTGAGTTATTTAACATTTTAACTAAACATATAGTCACACACTCACACTAAGCATAAGTTTGAGTTTCAATTTTAATTCAACCCTTAACGGCCTAACCCCTCCCACAAATCCACAATACAAGCCAACCTTCATATGTAGATAAACAAAGCTAATAACGTATAGTTTGGGGTCCAAAAACATCGATTTGAGAATTTTAAATATTTCAATTTCAAATTTTATTCAAACATTTCATTTTGAACTGTAATCTTTTTTTGGAGACAGGAGAAGTACTTTTTTTTTTACTGTGATTCGCGATTTGAGAATTTTAAGTATTTTTTGTAGACTGAAGAAGTTTTTTTTTTCAATTTTAATTTTTTTTACATTATAACTAAATATACTTTTCCATAATTCGCGGTCAAAAAATATCACAGTTTAACAAAAAAAAAGTCAAATTGTAGCAACATATTAGGGACGGAAGAAGTACCAAATTTTAATGTCAAAAGAATAATCCTCTAATTTTTGTGGTAATTATAAGTATAAGATTTTTTTTTGACTTATTAAATAGTTGAAGCTAAGGTGTTTAGCACTCATCTAATATAGTGCGACTTGTGCATGCCACAATTTTGCATCATATCATTTCAAGCATCTGCACCACTACTTTTTGTCTCAGCTCCTTGGTCTATATTTTGATTACAGAGACTATAAGAAAAATTGTTTTAAAACAAAAAAGGTTTCGATAGAATTTATTTAGAAAAAAAATACTATGTATTATTATTATTGGTCTCTTATCATTTTTTGAAAAAAAGGAAATAAATGTGAAGTTTATTTTAAATGAATAGAAAAGAAAAAGGAAATTGTGTAATTCCTTTGGGAACAATTTTTTTAATTTGTTAAATATACTTCCAAATATAATTTCATCCGCCCTAGAACATTATGGTGTTAGAAAAATGGAACATACCACTCATTGGTGTTGTTGACAAAAAGAGTCTAATGTACTCTCCACTCTCATTCATTGACTTTTTAAAACAAAGTGATGGTTTTCGTTTAATATTATGACCGTGTTTGAAAATAACATTTTCAATTAATATTTTTAATAAGTTCTAGTGGTATAAGATTTTTGTGTGTGCTAATGACTTGATTATAATTTTTTCCAATCCTATGACGCACAAAGAGTTTTTCATTTGAACAATACACACGATGGTAAATTTTATCCTTAAATTAAATAAAAATTATATTAGACTAAAAGAATTTGACTGATAAAATCAAAACTGACATACTCAAGAACAAAGGTAGTAGAATTTATGAAGTATACTCCGTATTTCACTACATTTATTTTCAACTGTTGTACCAAAATCAACTTAATTTATTTTAAAAATAGTGTATTATTAAAAAATCGAAATTTATATATTTAAAATTTATTTCAAAAAATTTCATTGCATCAAAAATTAAAGTTCCAAAAAAAATTTGCAACATTATTTTATTTTATAAAATAAATAGAAAAAATAGAGAAAAAAAAGTCAAAATGTGATCCCATCAAAGTGCGGGCCAGGCTGGTTTCTGGACCAAGTTAAGACACTATATTATGAGAATTTTTTAGGCAAGCTTGGTCCACTTAGAGATACAATAGAGTACAAGCAATTAAAATATAGGGTGTACAAAAAATAAAAGTATGAAAAATCCAGAAATCCTAGTGAGAGAGGGAGAGAGGAGCATAAAAAATACGGCTTCTTTGTCTTTTGAAACATTCACCCAATCACGCACATGATATTCATCGTGTTTTTATACTAAAGTGAAGAATGGAAAAAAAAAATATTCCGTATTATACAAAATGTAATCAAATGTATATTTTAAAAACACTCAGTGTTCGTTAGTGTATAATTTTTTCAAATAAAAACTAACCTCAAAGTAAAAGCCAAACATTGTAACAACCAAAAGAGTAGAAAAACTAGAACTTTCAAGCCATATTGTTGGGTCATTGATAACCCAAAGTGGATTCGATAATTCAATGAAAAATTCAAGTTTGTTGCTAAACCGTAAATATCCGCAACTAATTTTATCCAATATTATTTGTGGGAACGTACACGAAACAATATTTTTAAAGACTAGATTAAGATGGGTGTGGGGTGTGGCGGTTGGGCATTTCACCCCTTATCAAAAAGGTCAACCAGAGCATATTTCTATATCATCCTTTACAACAGGAAAAGCCCAACGGTGAGATGCCCCTTCATTTATTCTATTCACTGCTCTTTTGATTTGAAATCTCTATCTCTGTTCTGTTCTTCATTTTCATTCCAAAGATTCTATCTTTCTCCTTTCTTCTGAAGCCTCATTGGTTTCCTCTTCATCTTTGTTTTGTTCCTTCCATTACAAGTTGAAAATAAAAAAACTCAACTTGTCCCTTTTTGTTAGATAAAGAAAAGATAAAGATGGCTGCTTTTTCCCATTTATACCCCCTGCTGTGATCTGGTTTCCCCTTTTCTTTGAATTCTTGATTTAAAGAGCTAGGGTTCTTGATTTCTGGTAGAGAGAGAAAAAAATTGCAGATTTTTTTTGATGTTCTTTGCAATTGTTATCATCTCTTTTTGCTCTAATGAGTATACTGAATTTGGCATTCTGGGTTTGCTTCTTCTGTCCATCTTTGGGCCTAATTCAAAAGAGTTGCCATTCAAGTGATCAGCTGGCCTTGAAGGAATTTACAGGAAACCTAACTAATGGCTCTTCCATTCTTTCATCATGGTCTGATGAATCCAATTCCAGCTGCTGCAACTGGGATGGCGTCGAATGCGAAGAAGACGACGAAGAAGAAGAAGGGAGGAGGGTGATCAAGTTGAATCTATCTGGGAAAAACCTGCAAGGGGTTGTTCCCAAATCCCTTGAGAATTTGGGACATTTGAGGTTTCTTGATCTCTCCCACAACCATCTGGAGGGTGGGGTGCCCTTGGATTTCTCCAAACTGGCCCAGCTTGAGGTTCTTGATTTGAGCCACAACTCTTTCAGTGGACAGATTCTAGGGTCACTCTCAAAGGGGCTGGAAAAACTCCACACAATCAACATCTCCAGCAATTCATTCACAGGAAACTCCATTGATGATCTTCTTCAGCTCCCATATCTTCATGTCCTCAACATCAGCAACAATTCTTTCTCTGGCTCTCTCACCTCACACATTTCCAATGTCTCCACAAAAATAAGAACTTTGGATTTCTCAATGAACCATTTCTCAGGTGAGCTTCCCCAGTCTCTATACTCCATCTCTTCATTGGAGCGGTTTTCGGCCTCTGAGAATAGCTTATCCGGGCAGTTAAGCCAGGAGATCAGCAAACTTTCCCAGATGAAATCATTGGTTTTATATGGAAATAGATTCTCTGGTGGCATTCCTGATGTTTTTGGCAGTTTGATGGGACTAGAGATTTTGGTTCTGCATTCAAACCTGTTCTCGGGGCGTTTGCCTCCCACACTGTCACTTTGCTCAAACTTGACAACACTTGATGTTAGGAACAATTCATTGTTTGGTGGCATTGATCTTGACTTCACTGGTTTGCCTAAACTCTCCTTCCTCGACCTCGCGTCCAACAACTTTTCGGGCCCGCTCCCGGGATCTCTCTCCGCTTGCGGGGCATTGACGGTTTTGAGCCTTTCGAAGAACCGGTTGAACGGCTCGGTTCCCGAGAGCTACAAGAACCTCTCGTCCCTCGTGTTCCTCACATTGTCCAAAAACCGGCTCGAGAATCTCTCCCGGGCGTTTTCAGTTCTTCAGCACTGTCAAAGCCTTGCTGCTCTCATCCTCACCAAGAACTTCGAAGGCGAAGAGATCCCGAGACACGTGACCGGGTTCCGGAACCTGATAATCCTCGCCTTGGGGAACTCGAGGCTCCGCGGGGAGATCCCGGTGTGGATAAACAATTGCCGGAAGCTACGGGCTCTCGACTTGTCTTGGAACCGTTTGGACGGTTATATCCCTTCTTGGATCGGCAAAATGGAGGATTTGTTTTATATGGATCTCTCGAACAATTCGCTTTCAGGTGAAATCCCGAAGAGCTTGACGACGCTAAAGAGCCTAACGGCTCCTAGCGGGAACTATCAATTTGATTTCAACATCACCATCAATGGCATCCCGTTTATCGTGAAGAGGAACTCGAGCCGAAGTGGCTTGCAATACAACCGAGTCTCGGGGTTCCCTCCGTCTATATACTTGAGCAATAACAGAATCAACGGGGCGATATGGCCCGAGATCGGGCGGTTGAAACAGCTCCACGTCTTGGATTTGAGCGCGAACAACATAAGCGGGCCCATCCCCGACTCTATCTCGGCCATGTCGAATCTAGAGGTCCTAGATTTGTCCCATAATCAGCTACACGGGCCGATACCCTCTTCGCTCGAGGAGCTAACATTCTTGTCTAAGTTCAGCGTTGCCTATAATCACTTGACGGGCACCGTTCCGACCGGGGGCCAGTTCTTCAGCTTTCCACCCTCAAGCTTTGAAGGAAACTCAGGACTTCATGCAAATGTTACTAATGACATCCCTGCCCTTCCCGCCGTTTCAAGAAAAAGACTCGGGGAACGCGGAGTTCTCGGGATTACTCTTAGCTTAGGAGTTGGAACTGCGGTGCTTCTTGTTCTTCTGCTGCTAAGATTGCATCGGAGAAGAGACCATGGTCATGTTGAGGACGATGACCGGACGGAGGAAATGATGAGATTGCCCTCCGAGGCGTCGAAATTGGTCCTTTTTCGCGCCTCGGGTTGCAAGGACCTCACAGTCGTAGACTTGTTGAGTTCGACCAACAACTTCGACGAGTCGAACATCATCGGGTGCGGGGGGTTCGGCCTCGTCTACCTAGCCAACCTCCCGAACGGGACCAAAGCCGCAATCAAGAGGCTCTCGGGGGATGGCGGGGAAATGGAGAGGGAGTTCCAAGCCGAAGTGGAATCCCTCTCGAGGGCCCGCCACCCCAACCTCGTCCCCCTCCAAGGCTATTGCCAACACGGGAACGACCGGCTCTTGATATACTCCTACATGGCCAACGGCAGCTTGGACTACTGGCTCCACGAGAGCGTCGACGGTACAACATTCTTAACATGGGGTACAAGACTAAAGATCGCCCGCGGGGCCGCCCGCGGACTGGCCTACCTGCACAACCCGGAACGGAACATAATCCACCGCGACATAAAGACGAGCAACATTCTCCTCGACGAAGCCTTCGAAGCCCACCTAGCGGATTTCGGGCTCTCGAGGCTCTTACGAAGCCCGTACGACACGCACGTGACCACGGATTTGGTCGGGACGCTCGGGTACATCCCCCCGGAGTACAGCCACTCGATGGTCGCCACGTTCCGGGGAGACGTTTACAGCTTCGGGGTCGTTCTTCTGGAGCTCCTCACCGGGAAGAGGCCCGTGGAGGTATGCAAGGGGAAGAGTTGCAGAAACCTGGTTTCTTGGGTGCTGCACATGAGAGGGGAGAAGCGGGAGGAGGAGATTTTCGACACCAAGATATGGGGGGATGATAGCAGTAAAGGTCGCGAGAACGAACTCTCCCAGGCGTTGGATATAGCTTGTTTGTGTGTGGATCAAGAACCAAGGGAAAGACCCACCATTGATTGTGTGGTTTCATGGCTTGAAGCCATTGGAACTGATGAACACCAGAAACAGAGATTATGATGAATTTTCATGCCTTTTTTTTGTTTTACCTTATAATGTACAGTTTCAGGTCATCTTTTTTACTAGTGATATGTGATGACAGATGTAAAAACAGTAAAGAAACACACATTATTATTATAGGAATCTGTTTCAAGAAACTGTGACAGTGTGACATGTTTATGAAAGAAGAAGAAAAACAGAAGAGAACATAATCCAGTGCAGTGTTCAACAAGAAGATCAGTTGAACCTAACAACGATGCACGAAATGTCGTCGGAACTCTTCCTCGACACCGCCTCTTTGTTAAGGTGCTTCGCGGCTGAAACGGGATCAGATATTCCTCTAATGCAGTTAACCGCATCTTGGTTCGTCATCACCTGCCATAAATCGTCACACAAAGTGGGCACCGGTGAGGGCATATGTGGAAGTCTTAAAAGAGCGGTTTGTTAAAACAAACTTATAGTTACTCTTAAACAAACACACTGAACCAAAAGCTCAACAAGCTTGGAGTTGAAGGTCATGGAAAATGAAAACTGACCTTCCATATGCCATCACTAGCCAAGATAAGAAATTCGGTGGTTTCGTCAATGACATCCGTCACCACGTCCGGTTCTGAACTGAGGTGTTCCTTCAAGCTCTTGTCGCCAAATGCCCTTGCCACCGCCAACTGCCCATCCACTCTAGGTACATCCCCTTCGAATATTCGTATCAACAAAAACCAACACAGCATTTAATAATACTAAAACATTGAATCTAGACAGTTTTCTAGTTAAACACAAAACTTTACAATTAACACATTATTCTCACTCTCTTTTTTTTCCCAGTGTGGGACACTTTAGGACATATATACCTGGAAAGTTGGACACGAAGCCGCCTCTATCCTCAATGACCTTCTTCTCTCTTTGGGGCTCGTGATCCACGGAGAGTTGCTTGGCGGTCCCACTCTTGCAGATGACTGCCCGAGAGTCTCCAACGTTAGCCACGACGAGCTTCTTGCCATTGATCAGTATTGCAGTGACAGCTGTGGACCCTCCTTTGCCCAGCTCCGATGCTTTCTCCAAAATTGTTGAATCGGTTATCCGGTACGCTCTTCGGATCGCGCTCTCCGGTTCAGTCCAAAAGTTCGGCTGCATGAATCGTTGAATGAATGTTTGTCAAGGACTTCATTCATAATAAATTGGTTGTGCCCATTCCAAATGGAGCTAAAATACTAGAACTAAAACATACTTCATATCGTGTCGAATAAGTCAACACATAATGCCAAAAACACTGTAAACCGATTCGGCATAACTCCAATATATAGAACCAAAACAACTTGACATTAATGTGTACATTTTACCTGGTTGAGGATGTTATCGAACAAGTGAGAACGGAGAAAGTTGGGGACTTCGCGGCTCAAGTGACCGTCGAAGATGGCGAAGAGGCCGAGCTCGTTGTCGCCGACTTCCTTAAATTGGGCAAAAACGTAATCTTCCATGGCATGGCCCATCTTTCCCTCAAGGAGATGGTACCCATGTTTTATGTGCTTGGACATCTTACTTTTCCCTTTCCCAGCAGCCTCTTGTTGTGCAGATGAAGCCATAGCAGATGATGGTCAATCCAAACCTCTCCTGTTTTTACTTTTTGGTCAAATAGTGTTTGACCATATTTTAAACATAATATAAATGAATAAATGATATAAAAATTTGATATATCAAAACTATATTCTGAGATGAAACCAATTCTATTGAACTTATGTTGTAATTGAATATATTTTTTTCATAATTCGTGGTCAAAGTGTGTCAGTATTTGACAAAAAAAATAGTCAAAACATGAAAAGTTTTTAGAACCGGATCGGAGGGAGTAACACAGTACAACTACTTCCTTTGTTGAAAAACAATCCTGGATAACAATATTTTTAATTAAAATCATTAGTATAATAATTAGTATAAAATTTTAAAATAAATTTTATGTATTTAAAAAATAAGTTATAAAATAAAAAATACGGAGTACATAACAATGAAATTGTTGTGGGACGTATGTATGAAGTATTAAAAATCATCATCATATATATACTTTTTACATTTATTTTCTTTTATTTGACTTAATTTATTATTAACACATTAAACTGATTTGGAGCGCTTAATTTATCATTCGTCAATATATGATTCACTCTCTACCAATGCAATACTAATGATGATTAATGCTCCGTATACACATTGCAATAACAAATAAAATCACGCACCCGAATGATAAATGGCAGTAATAATTAATCTATTTTGATTTAATATAATATAATTACACCCTTTCAAAAAAATATAATTAAAAAGATTAATGAATAATAAATTAATCAAAAACACACGAAATAAGGAGCATAAATATATTCATACCTTAATTCTACAATTATTAAGCCACAGCAATGCAAAAGCTTTCTGATCTGAGCTTTCGAGAGAGATAGAGGGAGAGAGAGAGAGGGGCAAAGGAAAATATATGAGGAGAGAGATTGAAGGAGAGGGTGACACGTGTATATAAAAGGAGATGACAAGGCTTGTATTTTTGCCACGCACACGGTAGACCAGAGCATGTTGGCAGAGGCATTGTCGCCGCGAATCCACCGGCAGTTCAATTTAACATTTACTTTTAAATTTATAAAATTATATTTATAGTTTTAAGTATTACATTGACATTTTATAGAATTTAAAATATTTTTTTTATAATTAATGTATTTCCATTTCGAAAATGGACTAATATGAAAAAATACCCAGTTAGAAAATACATTTTAAAAAAGTAGTATAAAGTTTAACTTTGTTTTAACAAAGTTTTGAAGACCATTAGTCAGGGAACTAGATTGAGCATTATTTTTAATTTATTAGTACCATATTGTTAATGAGTTAATTTTGAAAATTAGTAATTTAGTATGAAAAAACACATAATTATTGAATATCATTTTAGAAATTTATTCGAAAATTTATGATATAATCTTAAACCATCCATCTCCATTTTTTAAAGATTTTGTTTGCAAATTTTGTTTGTAACTTGTAAGACTTGACTTGGTGTGGATGATGATAGCAAACACACCAACACCTTTAAAATCGTAGTTCCTAGTTTTGGAAGACCAGAGCATGTTGGCATTGTCGCCGGGAATCCGCCGGCGGTTCACATCTAAGCCGGTTTCCCTCAAGCCCTTATCAATCCTCATTTCAAATTTTCATTGCTTTCCCGGCCGGACCATCGAAGATTCTCCGGCGATAAGCCGTGACCCCGCCGGCACGGATCGCAGTCGGGACCCAGAGTCCAATTCAAGCGCCACCGCTCTCGAAATTCAGTCCATTCTCAAGCTCCACACAGACAAATCCATCACCAGATTGCACATCTCCCTGAGCCAAAGCAATTTCGCCTTGACGGAGGAGTTGGTCCTCGGCGTGCTTAAACGGCACCGCTCCGATTGGAAACCGGCGTACGCTTTCTTCACCTGGCTGCTGGAAGGCCGCAAGAATCGCACCGGGTACTCCCCCGGGACCGATGTTTTCAACCAAATCCTCGATATTCTCGGGAGAATGAGACGTTTTGACGAAGTGCACCAGGTGCTCGACGTAATGTCTGAAAGAGGAAATCTGTTCACTGAAAGAACATATGAAATCGTGGTTAACAGATACGCTGCAGCTCACAAGATTGATGAAGCTATAGAGTTTCTCTACAAGAGAAGAGATTTCGGGTTAAAGATCGATCTGATTGCTTTCCAAACCCTTCTTCCATCTCTCTGCAGGTTCAAGCACGTAGCCGCGGCTGAATTCTTGTACCATAACAAGAAAAAGGAGTTTAGAGACGAAATCAAAACGAGGAACATAATCCTGAACGGGTGGTGTTTCCTGGGCAGCTTGCGAGAGACGAAGCGGTTCTGGAACGACATAGTGACCTCCAGGTGCAAACCGGACCGGTTCACGTACGGGATATTCATCAACTCCCTGTGCAAGTCTGGGAAAATCACCACAGCTGTGAAGCTGTTCCAGACAATGTGGGAGAAAGGGTTCAACCCAGATGTGGCTATCTGCAACTCCATCATCGACGGGCTTTGCTTCAAGAAGAGGATCCCAGAAGCTCTTGAGATCTTCAGAGATATGAACGATCAAGAATGTTCCCCGAATTCTGCAACTTATAACTCTCTGATCAAACACATGTGTCACATCAGGAGAATGGAGAAGGCGTATGAGCTCTTATGCGAAATGGAAGAAAATGGCGGCTCTTGTTCGCCCAATGCTAGAACTTACGCGTACTTCTTGAAGTCTGCGAAGAACAAAGAGGAAGTTAGCAAGATCTTGGAGAGAATGGAGAAGAAAGGGTGCGAGATGGACGAGGACACTTATAACTTGGTGTTGAGGCTGTACATGAAGTGGGATTGTTCTGAGAGTGTGAAGGCTACTTGGGACGAGATGGAGATGCGCGGGGTTGGACATGATCAACGGGCGTACACGGTCATGGTTCACGGGCTGTATGAGAAAGGGAAGTTGGAGGATGCATTGGGATATTTCAAGGAAATGACTGCGAAGGGGATGGTGCCTGAATCTAGGACAAGAATCTTAGTGGATGCTATGAACATTACTTTGAAAGACAAATCAGGTCTCCAGGAGAAGAAGGTGGCAGCCGATAAACGTAGGGGTAAATCCTGATTCGAAACATTGATAGTTCTTACCCCTCTTAACCCTCCTAACCCCCTCCCCCCACTGCCCCCTGCCCTCCCCCACCGCATCACCCCCTGCCCCCCTCCCCAAAACGTCGGAATGCTGCAGCAATCAGCATTCCAGTGTTTTGGGAAGGGGGGGTTAGGGATGACAGGAACGATCAATTTTTCAAATGGAGCAGCTAGGGTGCTCTTGTTAAATTATGACAAGAATTGTTGTTGTCGAAAGAAAGGAGCCGAAATTAGGTATGCCATTTGCAAAATTTTTAAGAAAATAAGAAGACAAAGTCGGCCGAAAAGGAATAGCTCTTGGATATGGTTGAAGCAATGCAATAGCTCTTGAATGAAATGGAATGGCCATATAATTTGGCATGGACTATTTTTCATGAATTTAGTGTTTTAGAAAATTCTTAATTATGCATATCAACTTCGAAAGTTTTTAAATTTAAACTACTGTCATATAACATTTTCAAAACGCAAGCTTTGGAGCTAGTGTCAGCCAGAGCTATAATCATTGCTAATGCCCCAGAGGGATAGATATCAGCCTTGTTTGAAACTTTGAAAACTAGTGATTGGTTGTTGGCTTTTTATATTAGTTGATTTGAATGGGTGTTTAGGTCGGTTTGTATTAGCTCTTAGGAACAAAAATTATTTAGCAAAACGGCTATTTGTATGTGAAATTACATTTAAGGACATGTCTTCATGTGTATTAATTACTATTTAATGGTAATTAATTTAATTTTTTTTATTTAAAAAAAGCACACTCTATATGAGCAAATCATCCTCCACAAAATAAATGAGTAATAATATACTTTCTCCCGTTAACAATTTTCCATTTGAGGATAAATTTTATTTTTTCCTATATCTATTTTCATTGACATTTTATGAAATAATAGTCATTTTATTTCTTTTATAGACATTTTGATGTCATTTTGAAATAAATTGAATCCGAAATGTTTTTTTGTAAAATTAGAGCAACTAATGTCTACTTTTTTAGAGCAAATGTTAGTACGTTACCATACAAAAAGAGAAAAAAATAGAGTTTGGTCATATTAATAAATACATTTAAAAGCTAAGGGGAAAGGCTAAAGGGAAGAGAAAAAGATCCATGTTCCTGAAAAAAGATCTAATAGTCCTTAGAACATAAGGGTAATAGGAGGAAAAGAAAGAACCAAGACCAAAACGATGCCCTATATGGCGTTTCATTATTAGCTGTATGAACCCAACAGCCAATTTAAAATGCAATCTACCAAACAATTGTTTTGGTTGTATGACTAATCACAACAGCCAAATATGGTGAAAGCAAGCTAAAGGCTAGCTGAAAAGCCATTATCCAAACATGGTCATCGTGGCTTCAACAAAAAAACACTAAACCTCGTTAAATGTTACTCGTAAGCCATACAAGTTGCCCAATGAAGTTCTTTGCGGACGGAGGGAGTAAATGTCTATAAAAACACCCACAAACCAGAGCCTCAAGTTAAACTTGAAGACAAGCATAGGAATATGACCTCGGGTCCTTGAATGGGCCACGTCTGATGGCTTCCTCAAGCTGTGAAAATAATAATTGGTCTGTGTGAATGTTGGCTCTCACTACCACAAATTATAATGTAGGCTCTCCACATGCCTTCACCACCATCGCTCCAGTCCACCATTGCCATATCTCGGAGGAAGAGAAAAGAGGGGAACCAGAGGGCTAGATTGATTATAGGAGAAAGAAGAGGGGTGCAGAGAGAGATATAGAAGTACTAATGAGATTTCATGAAAGGATATTTTTGAAAGAGTTGAGATGAAATGGTAGAATGTGAAGATTATTTTTGGACAGAAAAAAAGATAAAATGAGAATATTATTTCTGGACGAAGGTAGAATGAATCTGACAATTTTTAATGGTGCATAATAACTTAAAAAAGTTGAAGTTAAAAATAATGTCACATAACATTTTCAAAATATTAAAACTAAACCTTGAAGCTAATGTCGAATAGAGCTCTAAAGCTTTAATCGTTGATAATGCCAAACACGGACAAATACACCATGTCTTTAAGAAAAGAAGCAACTATGTTAAGTATCAACTATGTTAAGCATAGAGCCTCAGAAAATACCAAATACAGACCGCACTCTTTGCCTGGGGCTCATCCTTTTTTTTTCCTAGTCACTCGCAAGTTGTACGGAGTAAAAGACAAGCAATGAAGTTCTTTATGGGCAGAAGGAGTAAATATATACAAAATCACCCACAGACCAGAACCATAGACTAAGTTAAACTTGAAGATTCAAACCCCAAAAGTAGAAAACAAATTCATGTTTCATGTTTGTGATGTGCACAGCTAAGATATTCTACCATAGGGATATGACATCGGGTCCTTAAGAGGTGTAGAATGACTAGAAGACCCTAAAATCTCTGCACTGTCTCCACAAGGGGCTGCGCTTCGGCGTGCTTTCTCCTGAGGTATGGGCCACTTCTTATTGCTTCCTCAAGCTGTGAAAATCATAGAAGACATAGTCATGCTAATTGGGCATGATTCCATTGAGCAGCGGAATGTCTTATGCATATACACACTGAGGGGAAAAATCATGTTGATATTTTACAAGAACACGCCAAGATGGCAATATTACATAATTATCATCAGCACTCCCAGAAATTCAATATTTTTACAATACTCCTAGAAAGTTTTTAGGGGTATATGTAATCTTGGAGTACTTTGTTTTGTAAAAATATTGAATTTTCAGAAACTTTGGTGATAATTATGTAATCTTGGAGTATTCTTGCAAAATCTCAAATTTTTGGGAGTATTGACATTATTTTTTTCCTATATCATTTCATGCAACTAACGAGATAACAATTGTGAGTCTGAACAATGAGCGGGTATGGGTCTGTCTTCTGATACAGCTAGGAGGGTGTGCTTGTTTCAGTTTTATAAAAACTGAATATGGTGTCTCAGACAGCAAAAAACAGAACTTTTATGGTGGTCTGTTGCACAACAATTTCAAGGAATAAATGTCTGGAATCTGAAAGTGATGAAGGGCATTTTTTGTCAAAATGAGAAAAGTTATCCCCGTGATTAGAACCCCATTCTAGTTATTTTCAGAATAACCATATTCTAAATCACAATCACACCATGTCAACAGAGTTCTATTTATATCACAAAAGGCTGTCACGATAATGCAGGGGGGAATATATAGGAAGTACTTAAAGTTTGAGACCATGAGAAGTGTACCTTATTAGCTAAACCATGAAATGAAGGGTCACTGATTAGTTTACTAGAAGAGAAAGCCTTGTATATTGCCTGACAACACTTGTGCCGAGCTTCCATACCTAAAAGTTGGCAAATTTCCAGAACATACAATGATTATAAAACATCATTAATTAATCATAATTCGAATTAATGGGCAGATCACATACAGACCTATCTTTTGGGATTCAGTAAATGTGTCGGTCACAATATCTACAATTTCTTTTCTAGAGAGGATCTCCATCAGGCACCAAGGTCGCATCACCAACCCTGTAATCACTCGATAACCCTATTAAAAGTTGAGATACAAAAATGGTTATAGCCTTATAGGAAAGATCAAACCGTAAAATCTAATGGATGATCATAGCATCTTTTATAAAAATCTAAATACTACTCGTATTAGACACACACACACAGATACACACACACACACACACATACAAGCTACGAGCTAAAATTGCATATAATTTTAAAATAACTAACAGCAGTCTCCACTAAACACCACAAATTGCATCTAAAAGTTATCAAAATGTTAAAATATTATAGGAGCAATCTTCATAGTCCATACATTAATCAAATTGTAAAAGTAAAAATATACAAAGTAGGAAACATAACAATGTGCCAAATATCAATAAACATAAACAAAAAAAGACCCAAAATCATCATCCACATCAGGTATATGATCACAAGATCATGTAGAGATATTGATCAAATTAGATCTTATATACGAGACCCGAGACCGTCTAACATTTGGTTATCAAGATGTAAATCTCATGTGATCTTACAATGAAGATCTTGATAGCCTCGGTTGTTATGTATCAATATATTCAAGCAGGTAAAAATGCAAAAGCCCTTTCTTGTAAGATTCATAAAACATTGGAATTGCCATAGATGAGGAATACCAAATAAGTGTGCAGTCAAACAGAAATAATGTACTCACTGCAAGACGAATTTCTGAATCCTGCTGAAGAATTGAAAGGAGAATACCCTGTCACAAGCAACAACTTCACTAATTGATAAAATTGTAATGCAGTTATAGGTGCAAATAAGGCAATAATCATAATGAAATCAATTCTCTATCTTAAGGCCTAATGCATCAAATCTAACATGATATACATGTGATATATGCATGTATGTGTGTGTGTGTGTGTGTATATGTATGTATGTATGTATGTATAATGTGCTTTGAAAATATAAAGTTTTTTGAGTTGCAGGCCAAAATAAGTATGGCAGCTAAGATTATGACACTATGACTGAAAATTTTGAGCTTGTTATACCTTTAAATCAGCAATATTATGTGTAGGTGAAAAGTATTTCAAATTTGACTTACCGAAGCAGTCAGTTTAGGAGTCTTTGACGATGTCTCATAGATTAAACGTCGTAGTGACTCTTCTGCATCGCCATCCAGTAACACATCATTTCCAGAACGAGCTTCCCCAACAATGTTTCCAAGGGCATGCAGTGCAGCCTATACCATCCATTTAATTTGTTTTTTAAAGTCTTCATTGTATCACAAGCTTTTACCATGTTAAGGACAACAAACAAGATAAAGGTTTGATGCTTGATAAGGGGATTGAAGATTATTACAAGTTTTATACTGTGCTGTTGGTGACCAAAAGCTGCATTAATAACATGCCTACCGGGAACAGATGAAATTGAGAGTAGCAAAGTCGCTCCTTTCTTCGCTGCAGTACCAATGTACCATACAATAGAAAACTAGGTGAGATTGTGAGAATGTCTTTGGGGGGGGGGG